ATGTTTCTTTTAAGAGAAATTATATATAATAAATATCTATATATAAGCATGCAGGCTTTAAAATATCGGCCAACAGGCCATCTGTCAAATGTCCGGTGTCTTTAAAAAATGGGTTGGATATACATTTTTAAAATTAAAATATGGTAAATGGCCACATGTTAGCAGCAATTAATTAAGTAATGGTTTAAAATCGAAGTTTCAAACGATTAAAACAGTACAAAACTTCAGAGACAAAGAAAAAGCCTCAAATTTTATTTTATTCTGTAATTACAGTCGACGGCTAAACGTTTTATACTTCATAGACATAGTGTGTATTTTTTATATCAAAATTCAAACTACACTCTCAAAAACACTTTTTGAAGTTATAGCAAAGGTGTAATAGCCTTTCACAGGTTTATCCGTTTGCATAAAAAGCTGAAAATTAAACAAATAAACGGCATACAAAGCTGAAAATTATACAAATACAGCTCATCCTTACTGCGAAGCAAATACGAAAGAAAGAAAGTAAACACGCACCCTTTGAAAACACTAATAAGCTTGCAGATTATGAATTATTTCTCTTACACGGCTTTCGGTCTTGATTGTATCCCTGTTCATCTTTGCTATCTGTTGTGCTTCACATATCTTGTTTCTTCCCGTTTTACTTTGCACAAAGTTTATGAAACGCTTTTACAAAAAGGTTTACGAAATGACAGTTAAATTGCTGACGTTCTCATTGAAATTCAAACTTTCTGTCTTAGCCAATCAGAACGTTTGTTGATTATTTGTCATTTTTGATATCAGCATATACTTATCAGCATGAGTCGGAACTATTAAAATGGATTTATGTATAATATATTTTTATGTGTGCATATCCTGTTCCAGCTGACATTTTCAAGAAATATAAAACCAATATACATGCAGTGTAATATATATGTATATTTTTTATATGTCATATCAGGAAAAACGTTGACCGAAAACGAAGATTATCTTTTCTTATTTAATATGGCATTTTTGAATTTTTGTACTTTTCAAAAATACGTATTAAAAGTAAAACGCTGATATCTTGGGATATATTGTATCAAAATACGCATGGTATATACCAAATTTTAAGTTAGATATTCACGAATCTAAAAAAAAGTTATTTCAGTGTAACAGACGTTTTAGTTTTGAAGTTAAACAGGTTAATTACTCAATCAAACAGGTTAATTAACCTTTTTTTGCGCCACCCGGTATATCATACAGTATCATACTGTATCATATTGCATCATATAGTATCGTACTATATCATATACCATATCATACTTGATCATACTGTATCATACTATGTACTATAATTTCGGGAATAAATCTACCATATTCTTGTGACGTATCATGACATTGACATATCATCCCTCCATTCTTGTACGAGTAAAAGCCTAAGCAATTGCGATAACTGCTGTACGACCATATCACGTGTTAAGAGTTGGCGAACATCCTTTAGTAACTCAATTGTTGAAAGGAATGTTCAATTCTAGACCACCATTGCCACGTTATTCGGTAACGTGGGATTATCAAATGGTTATCGACTATATAAAATCTCTTGGGAGTAATGAGGCATTAACCGCATTACCTCTCAAAACCTTGTCTTTAAAGTTGGGAACACTGCTAGCCATAACTTCACTAGAACGTGTTCCAGAAGTCGTAGCTCATGACCTTCGATTTAGACGCGTCACTCCAGAAGGAGTCGTGTTTGAGCTACCGGACTTGGTCAAAAAGTCTCGCTTCCTTCATGGGTTTAAGAAATCGTTCCATGCGAGTTTTCCAGAAAATGTTAATATCTTTGTGTAGTAAATTGTCTTCAAGAACATGAAAAACGCACGAAAGAATTTCGAACACAAATAGGTCGATCAGATCCAAATCGATTGTTGCTATCTTATATTCGTCCTCATAAACCTATTACTTCGGATACTCTTCGTATCGTTGGATAGTAGAATTTTTAAAACAATTAAGGAGGAGTAGATACCAGTATTTTTAAAGCCCATTCAACCTGAAGTGCTACGTCTTCAGCTGCAGTTCAGCAGCCGTCAGAAACAACTGTTGCTTAAAGGATATTTTAGCCTTAGCTGATTGGTCTACGGACTCCACGTTTAAACGTTTTTATTATAGACCAGTTTACAATCAACCAGTTATGCGTAATGTTTTAAGTACAACCCCAACAGATCATGAGAAGCTTTGAACTTACATTGTTATATCGAGACGACTGTTCTGAAGTATAATATTCATAATAAAATATAATATAATATAATATAATATAATATTCATATAATATTCATAATAAAATATTCTGAAATATAATTTCAGATTATGCGAGGGCTGTTCTGAAATATAATATTCATAATATAAATATAATATATATATATATATATATATATATTATATTATATATATATATATATTATTATATTATATATATATATTATATTATATTATATATATATATATATATTATATTATATTATATATATTATATTATATTATATTATTATATTTTTTATATATTTTTAAATTATATATATTTATTATATATTATATTATATATTATATTATTATTATATTATATATTATATATTATTATATATTATATTATATTATATATTATTATATTATATTATATTATATTATATATATTATTATATTATTATATTATATATATTATTATATTTTATTATATTCATAATAAAATATAATATAATATAATATAATATAATATTCATATAATATTCATAATAAAATATTCTGAAATATAATTTCAGATTATGCGAGGGCTGTTCTGAAATATAATATTCATAATAAAATATAATATAATATAATATAATATAATATAATATTCATATAATATTCATAATAAAATATTCTGAAATATAATTTCAGATTATGCGAGGGCCGTTTGCGGCCTGAAGTGTAATACTGTAATATGAATTATATGAAGATAAAGGAGACGACATATAACAATGTCCCTCCCCCCGCCCAGTTTTCAGAGATTCGGGCTCATGAACTATTGGTTTGGAGTTTATAATTGTTTGCTGTTTTTTCAGGTGTCTAAATAAAATGGCGAAGGAGCTGGGCGCGCGAAGGAGTTTGGGGGTTTGCTGTTAATATTATGTTAATTAGTTAAAGTTTTACTTTGTATCGCTATTTTGAGTGAAATAAAGTGGTATTACATTGTTATATCTCGTCTCCTTTATCTTCATATTATTCATATTACACTTCAGGCCGCAAGCGGCCCTCGCATAATCTTAAATTCCTGGAGGACCGGTTCTCTGGAAAAAAACATTAGGAGCCGGTCCTCCAGGAATTATTATTATATAGCTCAGTGGCCTTCACTAGTCGGCGTTAGATCATATCGAACTAACGTACCTGATGTCATAAAATTTTCAATAACCCTAACCCTAACCGTAATTAAGGTGAAGTCAGAGATACTATTACATAAGTATATGATCACTCCTATACTGGGTATGAGGGTAACAGACATTTACACTTTCGTGTACATTTATAAATGTATAAATGTATCATCTTTCATCGCCATTTTTATTTTATCATTTTTATGAACCAGCTCTAGAAAGACTTCATGTAAGACTTCTGTTATTATACTTCCGTTATTGCAAAATTTATGACGTCATGTCTAACGCCGACCCTTCGTCGGGTCTCCCCAGTGAGCTCCACATATATCTGGATCTGGAGTAAGAACTTAAGACTTCCGCGAGGCGAAAAAGTGAAGCCAAAGATGGCGGATATTAGAGAGCTTAAGCATGCGACGTTTTTGTCAACACGGACGTCACGCGTACAAAATTTAACGGCTAAAAATGGCGTCAGCCGTTCTTGCTTAAAATCTACGACGGGAAACTGCACGGACTGCGGTTTCTGATTTTAAACAAAAACGGCTGACGCCATCTATAACGCCAAAATTTTGTATGCGTGACGTCCGTGTTGACAAAAACGTCGCATGCTTAAGCTCTCTATTGAGGCGCTATAGTACGTCAGTTTCAGTCCTCTTATGTGCGCGGTTTAACTTTATTTTTTCCTATTTTTGAGTAAAAAATGAGGGGAATTTCAATGAAAGGTAAAATATTAATGCTTTGTATTGAGATACTTTTATATTTCAATTAAATTAACAAAGAAATAAGCGATATCTTACAAGGAAAGCTAAGGAGTGGCGGATTGTTGATGTTTTCGGCTTTTCGCAAATCACAACATTTACTCACAGAATATGCTTCCCAAAAAAACATAAATAAAACTTTTCTCAGTTTAATTCATCTATATGAGGCTTTCATTCATGTAAAAAAAAAATCGGAACTGAAAACTATGCTGAAAAACGTACGAGTTTGAAATAATATTAATATATGATTATGAAATTTATAAACAAGACTCATAATGCACGTATAAAAGAACCTTAAAAAGAGCCCTATGCTAGGAAAGCTGGCCAAAAAATAAAGGAAAACTAGTGTTAAAGCGTTTCGAAACAAACAACGAAACAAGAAACTCAAAACATAAGTTGGAAATACATGAAAATAACTCAAAATTAAACAAATCTGAAATGCGTAGTTGAATTTATGGCGAAAAATGCATATTTACTCACACGTACAGTCGGAAAATGCGGCACCCACATCGGGTAGATGCAGAGAAACAGATTGTCAGTAAAATGAGTCAATTTTTTCCATTCTTGTGGTCTCAAAATGATGAAAAACACGAAAATCTGAGGGTTTCGGGAACGTCACTCCCGGTCAAAAACAATGAGAAATATTTGGCCGCGCGAGTTAGGAAACTGAAACTGACGTACTATAGCGCTTCAATTTCCGCCATCTTTGGCTTCACTTTTTGCACCCAAAGTTCTTACTCCAGATATATGTGGAGCTCACTGGGTCTCCCGTCGCCTCCTCCCCAAGCACCCCTGCGCGCTCGCACATCTTACAAAGATCTCTATATTACGCTGAATGCAACCTTTATGTTTTCCAATAAAGCGCCTGGGTACGAGGCTGTGGTGTCGTCATTGCGGAATATGGTTCATGTCGTAATTGAAATAGCAAAAAATTGTTGTCGAAGTACTCTCAACTTTTGCTGAGTAATAAATATACTATATAACTAAAAACCCACCAAAATCGTAAATGGAAGGCGCTGTAAGCGACAGTTCGGTTACAAGTGAATCGATAGAAGAATCAAAATTTGCTGGTGTTGTTTTCCACAATATTCAAGAAATATATCTACCCGGAAAAGATATACGTTGTTGTTATTCCATCAAACCGTCTGTCTTGGCGACAGCAAACGACTGGATAGGGCTCTACAAAGTCGGCTGGCAGTCTCCAAAGGAATATTTATGCTACGAATACTCCCCAGTCATCGAAAAGAGTGCCGAACGTACTTCGTCTATTTCGTCCAGTGCATCTTTGTCGACACAAAATTTAGTAGTGTTTCTCGGCAGCAAGCTGCCCTCAGAAGAATGTGAATTCTATCAGTTTTGTTATGTTACAAGCAGCGGGGAGATTCGCGGGGCTAGCTATCCGTTTCAGATCAGTTTTTCTAAGCCAGGCGAACTAGAGTGCAGCGAGGAAGAGGACGAAAGCGGCGAAACATTATTGATTGTTAAAAATCGCACAACTTTGCTCGAAGATTCGCTTGCAAAAGCTTACGACGAAAATTCTAGATTGAAAGCTTCGAAAGAAAAATTCGAAGATGATTGTCTCAAGTTTCAGGATATGATCCTGCAGTTGGAGGCAAGAAAAAGCGATCTGGTTTCTCAAAATGAAAAACAGAAAAGGTTGCTGGAAAAAGTGAATTCTGAAAAAACTTTTTTTGAGGAATCGTTTAAGGAGTCAGTCGAACAGCTGAAGAGTTCTCAGAGTGCTTTGAAGTTGGCAAACGAAAAAACGGAAGAAGTTCAAAAGCAGCTGGATCATGAACGACTATGCCATGTCCAAACAACTTCAGAGCAGCAGAAGTTTGATGAAGAAAGATCACAGCTCCTACATGTAATTTCCCAAAGAGATGGCACAATCCAAAACTTTTTGGACAGTATTGAGGAAAATAGTTGCAAGGCTGCATCTTTGGAATGTGAAATTCAGAAAATAAAAAGTGAGAAAGAAGCTGTGCTGGAAGATTACAATAAGCTTGTTGTTGAAAACATCAAGACCAATGATTCTCTGGTCAAATCAAATCAAGCACATGCAGCCTTGGAAAAATCTGTGGCTGAACAATGTGAACAAGTTTATCAATTACAAGCTGAGAATTTGGTGATGAAAGATGAATTGGCTGCCACTCAGAAAGAGCTGGAGGATATGTCCCAATCATTTGGCAATAAACAATCATCCATTGCTCAAGAACTTTGTAAGTATGAAACCCAAATTGAATTGGTTACATCGCAGTTAGAAGGCTCCCAGAAAGAGTTGTCTGCCACCAAGGAGAAACTTGATGATGCCCTTTCAGTCCTAGAAAAGGAGCAAAAAGTTAATCAAGAACAAGTCCAAGAATATGAGGGGTCCATTTTGAAGATACAAAATCAGCTGGACCAAGAGAGAGCTTTCAACAACTCATTGTGTTCTGCATCTGATCGCCAAGTTGGTGAACTTCAAGAACAATTGAATGTTCAATTGCAATTGAATTCTTCAGCTTTGAAGCAGACTGAAAAGCAAACTCAAGAAATTAAACATCTAGAAGAGAAAATAACTGTAAAAGAGAATGAAATTGAAAGAATGCAACTTGAAATGGAGAACTATGCACAGGAATTGGAATCTATTAAAAAGCTGGAAAACGGAAGTTCGCAGTTAAATGCAGATGCCAGCAAGGCTGAAGGAAATATCGCTTTGGAGGGATCATACTTTGCTTTAAAAACAGCCCATGAGCAACTGAGAAAGCAGTACATACAGGCCAAGAAAGATATGGAAAATGTCTGGCGTCAAAAAGCTGATTTGAAGCGACAGCTTGCTACTATTCAATCTGAAATGCCTGAATCTGACCTGCGATTCCAAATGGCTAACCTAAAAAAGCAAATTGAAGACCTTCGTATACGACTGAATATGGGAGCTGAAGCATACAAGACAAAGTTTAAAGAGTGTCAGAAGTATGAAAAGCAACTCAAGAAGGTTCAAAAAGTCCCCAGTTGTCAGAAAACAACACAAAGTCCATCATCAATGGCAGAGTTTGAGATTCAAAATCTTAAACAGACACTTGAGAACGAAAAGACAACTGCAGCCACCCTGAAGAAATCTTTGGAAAACTATAAGGAGGAAACACACAATGCAAGAGAAGAATTGTCAACGGTAAACAGCTTTAATTTATCACTATAATTTTAAGCTTTATAGTAATATGCCACTATATTCAGCTAAGTCCTATACACACATTTTGCAGGTGTTTCATTAATTTCTAAAATGTAGCATTTCTGAGGATGGCATTCCTCACCACATTACTATACATCAGTCCATGCAATGCTCTAATGAGATGGGAAAAAAGTGTGTTTTTAACAGGCTTGGTAGAACTACGAGTTTTACAGCACTGGTCCCAGGAAAAAAATGAAAAAAAAACCCAGCAGAGAATCCTGCACCAAATTTCAATGTGACTGCATTAAATTTCTTCAAATTTTGATAGCTCATAGCCCCTCCCCCCATATTGATGCCTAACAAGCTCATTGTCTTGTCTAATATCCAATATTCATATCCAATATTGATATCCAATATTGAATTACTGAAGTATTATATTGATAAATCATTCAAACGATTTGATCACTCTCACTTGCGAATGAGATCTCACTGACAACATTGATTTTGACATCGTTATGAACACTTGGGCTAAAGTGAAACTGCGAAAATTTCCAATTAAGTTAAATAAGTGAACTACAGTGTGTCCGAAAAAGAAGTGACCCTATAGAAATTATCATACTGTTGTAATTTGTACGCCTGAGCGCTACGCTAAATCAACAGATGCATACTGTAGACATCAGCTTCTTGAATTTTGAATAACTCCTATTACAAGTCCACTTCATGGCTCAACTGACAAAACAGAGTCTTTGTAGTATAACACAGTATAATTTCATTAAATATTCTTGTGCGTAATCACGTGCGTTAAGAGCACTGTTAAAAACAATGAGATAATTTCTATAGTTTCACTTTTTGGGACACACTGTATATCAAAGAATAAAGAATTATTACTGTGCGTATGTAGCTACGTTCGCATTGGCTGTTTATTTATGCATGGACACCACGTATTATGTAGGCATGTAGTTATAGTGCTTGCTTACCAGACAAAAGCAGGGCATCAATCATTTTAGCAGGGCAAATCTGCGAGAAACCCCCCAACTAAATGAGTCTAGGTTCTCCCGTGCACGCTAGCCATCCCAGATATTAGGGTGATTTAGCATGAGGACGTGAACGTCAAAGACGACGTGAAAATGGCGAGTAAATGGCGTGGCATGTCCATATTTGGGCGCATCACGCCATTTATTCGCCATTTTCACGTCGTCTTTGACGCTCACGTCCTGGTGCTAAATCACCCTATTATTGAAGTACTTCGGGCCTGTTTACATGGAGCGAGTTATCCCGGTTAGGCGAGGTAAAAAGCGCATCAGATCAAAGGCTTAACCTTACTAGTCTTTCATTATATGCAGTTTTCACCTCGCCTAGCAGGGATAACTCGCTCCATGTAAACAGGCCCTTGGTTTGCTAAATGTTTTTGCTAAACTTGTGCTCATCTTACTTTAGGACACATTATCAAAGAGTTCACTATAGCTACTTTTTTTAACAACCACATATTCTAAAATTTTATAGCATATATATGCACACTATTAACTACAGTCATATTAACTACAGGCAACATATTAAGGTACTGTACTTGCTACTTTATATTGTTTCATATACATATTATGTAGATTAAAAAAGAAAAAGAATTCTTGCAACGACAAGTCGCCACTCTCGAAAAAGAAGTTTGCATCGGCAATGAAGAAACACAAAAGCGTCTGGTTGAAGATAAAGAGCTCCAATCCCACATTGAATGTCTCCACAATCAGTTGGAGGCAAAGTGCAATGCCCTAAATGATATTGAAGAGAAGTACAAGGCATTAACTGAGAACAACGAAGGTGTGATTGCACCATTAAGGTATGTAATTGAAAATGATATTTAATTAATTTCTTTGGTTTTTTACGTTGTTTGTGGGGAGGCTGGCACCTCTACCATATTAATGCTCTTGTTTTGTAAATATAAACATGGAGGGTGTCTTAAGAAAGCAGCCACACTTAATATTCAAAAATAAACACTTAGAAGTACTATTGTACTATTGGGCCTTATAACAATACGAATGCATGTTAAGTGCTTGCCTTTTTTATACACCATGTACAATGTTTGTAATGTATTCCTCTTTTGCGACAGATCCCAAGAGACAAAAAAGTGTAATTAAATGAATATCAATCAGTCAAACAATAATATAATAATATTCTTGTATATTCGAATGGTGACAGTCAATAAGTAATTTCGCTTGTAAATGTATATTCAGGTAATTGCACTAATGAAGGCCCGGGTTAACGGACCGAAAGCTTTGCAGTATTTAACGTGGTATACCTACAAGCTAAATTACGTAATAATATAATAGTTTCAAACAAAACCTGGTGTAATAGCTACGTTAAAAAATGACGCACACCCATTGATAATGTAGAACATTATTTATTCGCAAACTTTGACCGGACAATTTTATCCCATTTTAAAAACCCCATGCATAAAAGTTTTACACGATTTCATGTCTCTTTACTTTAAGTGACGAGAATGAAAAACTTCAGCGTGCCCTTGAAGATGCATCCAATCAAAATGATTCGATAGTGATGGAGATGCAAGCTGAGAGAATTAAATGGAAACAGCAGATGGAGAAGCAGAATGCACTTATAGAAGAACTGAAAAGAAAAATTGGTGTTGATTGTGTTGCTTCGCAAGACGACGCAAACAAAGGTGAGTTTTCATTTTTCTTCGTTAGTTTTTGACGTTTTTGGTTTAACTAGAAGAGAAGATCTGAACGTTACTTTTTTGGCACCATTTCCGTTAGAACATCAGGGAAGCGAAAACGAAGGCTAAGCCAATCGAGGCAAATTCCTGTAACCCGAGATTAAACGAAGCGGTGAAATAACTTTGAGGCCTGGGTTATACATGCAGGGCGACTCTGATTGGCCATTTCTGTCCTTAACTACAGCTAACAGTTAACTGGTCTTTTATATAACTTGCTCCAACTTCGTTCCCAGGGTCCTTTTAATACCTAAAATTAATCTTCTCGTGGATTTCATCATAGAGATTATTAAGCTAGCGGCAATATAACGTGTGAAAATTTACGGTGTCCTAGGGAACAACTTTGCCTTCGGCTCTGAAATGCGCAATAATGAAATTAACCACGGGGTTAATTTATATGGACGTATAACGATTAGGTTCGAATATGCGTCAAATATTTAAATCACATTATACTGGAATTAATTAATAAAAAAAGTAAAGCTATCTCAATATATGTTAACTTTGCCACAACGTCAAGTGTAAAAAATGAAAAGAAAAGTAAACCTATATATTTGTTTTGTGGTTTGTTTTTAATATAGACAATGTATTTGAGTCGACCATAGTGGAGAAGACTAGCCGAGGACCCCCTTCGACCTCGATTCAACCTGAGCATCAGTGTCCTATCTGTGAAATTTTTTATCCACCCCACTGCGCGCAGAAGGACTTTGAAGAACACGTTCGTTCACATTTTGATGATTAGTGATAGGTACGTAAGAATGGAATAAAAAAATTTGTGTACTGCATTTATAATTAATTAGCCTAAAATCGACACATTGTAAGTGTGTGTACTATAGACGCGGAAATCAGCATTCAAAGAATTCCTTTGGTTTGAATAAACCGTCAGACCAATAGTCTGAAATGCAGACAATTTTAGGCAGTCAAAAAAAATTATCTATGCTAAGCCCCCAACATTTACTTCGAGGGAGCTATAATCTCCCCTGTCCTGAGTCTCAGGTGGACATCTGAAGCGAAAAATAGCCGAATCAATAAATTTAGGATTTCGTCTAAGATATAGTACACGTACTTCATAAGTTATATATCGTAGAAAGAGAGGGAAATTTGTAATACAAAGTATGATAATTTAGATCGAAAATGGGCTAAAACATTTGGCGTAAAAACAGGCATTAATAGTACTGCAAGAGCAAGTTGTTAGAGCTGAAATGGTTAAGTAATTCTATACCCATATATATCCGATTAATATAGAGTTTTGTATACTTGGCTCGTGCAACTTATGTCAATACCCCCATTGGAGTGCGCATAGATTATATATCCACTATGTTTAAAGACATTATTTTACTACTAAAACCATGTGGAATGCTTTTGAAATAGTAACTTTTTAATAAGTTCTTTACACGTTTGTTCGTGTAAGCACCACGTGAGTTAAGTTTTGCAAAACTTAATTAATTGTTAAAAAATTAAATTATTGCAAAGCTAAATTCATCTGGCGTTTCCACTAAAAAATCCATAATTCCAGCAAATCATATAATGGTCTGTCTAGTTCCCACGTTTTTGTCTCCACGTTCACCTGACTGAAATAACATATAATTATAAAGAACTGAATATATAATTACAGTACTCCACTAAGGTGGCTCCCTACAGTTTTAATTAGGTTGCACACCGTTGTGCTTATTTTATCATGTTGCCAGGTTTGATCACGAAACTCGGCTAGGTAACTGCTACATCAATGCATATTACGAACGATTAACAATTTCGTTAATGGACCTTTTGCATATAATAAACCAATTTTTTATTCGGGCAACAAAAAGGAAATTTCCTAAAAGTTTGGCTGCGAAATGTTGCAAAGTATGGAAAAAAATAGCCAGGCGAAGTTGGCAATTTGTATACTTTTTTACTACGGCCGGAAGTGTGTAACTAAACTAGTTACACGCTCCCGACCGTAGTATAATGTAGTATATATTTTCCATACTTTACAACATTTCGCTGCCAAACTTGGCAAATATACTAATTTCGGTATGCTCTTTTTAGCTGTGGTGATTTATTTCCTTCTTGCTATGTAGATCATAAGCTGGTCTATTATGCAAAAGGTCCATTATTCTCTGTTTTACAACAGGGCAATTTTAAAATAAATAAATTTTCTCCGGTAAAAGTTTCTAATTCTTTGCACACAGGAATATTACCTATATTTAGTTTAAATGATGGCAAACCGTTGTGCTGAAAAAATAATCGTACGAGCACTTTTTGAGGTAATTTTTTTATCTTTCGCTCGTACGGTTTTATTAACTTCTACACATTTCTATATTATTCATTTCAATATTAGAGGGAAGTCAGAGAGGTTTTAAAAATATTTACCGGAAGAAACACAATCGGGAATCATACGATTATTTTTATGTTCGTTTACGTTGGACGCGTGTATATCACCACGTTTTTTCGCAAAAATATATTTGTTGGAACACGGGTTGGAATTGATGCTCCAAAATATTACTAATATAAACAATACCATAATTTCATTTGTTAATGATTTTGAAAAATAAAACTGTAGGGAGCCACCTTAAGAAAAGAATATTGTCACTATAGACTGCACGAGCTGAATAATTTTTGGTCAGTTTTTCATGTAATCAAATACATATAAATTTATGCCTGGTGATTATTTGATTTAGTCATGTTTTTATGATCCTTACTTTCTCTGTATGGTATTCTACTGCATCGTATACTTTAAAAAATAGCTTTGGGCTGGTTCAGGAATATTTCAAAGTTGATTAAGATTGTGCATAAAAACTGCAACCCTGAGATTTGTACATTAGACCTTGTCGAGGATTTTAAAAATTGGATTGACTGCAACAGGGCTATAGAATTTAAAAACTGTTTGTAACTCCGCTGTCATCGTATAAACGTGTTGAATAGCGTGATGTTGATTTGAAACGATATTGTTAACCGATTTATCTGTATCGCGATAACGAGCTGGGAGAAAATATTGGGCCATACTACAGTCAATTTATCGGCAAGGCTAAAATGAGTACCCGTACCAATTTCATCCATGCTTGGCTTTTCTATTGGTAGCCTGAACTAATAAACTAAATAAAATCAATAAAACTGGTCACGGGTACCTGATTTAACAAGACAGGACAGCGGGTCCTGATAATACCATCGGACTTGCCACAGCAACTTGGTTACTTGGAGTGAGTAGTGCGAACACATTTTGTTGTTGGCTTGTAAACAAACTGGTAACAACTTGTTTGCAGACTCAATTACAACTTGTGCGTTTTTGCGATTGAGGCTAAACCAATGGGTCCCTGTCCTCAATATGGGGATACTCATACTGGTGTGATCCGGGGCACTTGCGTTGTCTAAACCGTATCATACGTGCGTTTCGCCACTGATGGTCAGGCGGATGTTCTTTGGTGTCCTTTTGAGGTATTTCTATAAGACAATGAATCGAAATCTTTATGCCGAATCAAAGTCCAAAGAAGAATGTTAATAGCGAGATTGACGATGCATTATAGGCTTCAGAATTATTCATTCACATTCGCAAAATCATTCTGTGATAAATTTTGCATTGCCTCTTTATTTACTTAATTATCTTGTACTTTCATCCTTTCCCACACCCTCCGAGATTCTAAATTATCACATCTCATTGGGTAGTCATGTCCTGTCTTCATTCGAGAAAAGGGAACAACAAAATCCCCTGTTTATATGTTCCCCTTTCGACGTCTTGGTCCTTTCTTTAAACACTCTGTTCTTTCGTCCTATTTATTCATTCTTACAATACCTATTTTATTCAATTTATGTGGCTGATTTGGCATGTTTCAAACCCTCCTTTGGAAATTAGACATGCTCGGAATATTGCAATTTGCAATGTGGATGAGGTTGCAACTATCTTATATTTACCTTTTTCAATTGCATGTTGTCCCTTAAAAGTTGTTCCATGTAGCTGTCTTTAACAAGTCAGTTTTGCCGATGTGAAGTAGTCCAGGTGTGAATTATTGACTGCACACACTCATAGCAGTACTCTAACATATCAATCTTCCTAGCTCATTCTGATTCAGCAAGTGAATCTGGGTCTGAACACCCAAACTATTTTTTAACACGTACAACACCATACAAGAACATATCACATGCAGTCTTATTACTATATGGCAGCTGAGGTAAAATTAAATATCAATAGTGTAGAGAAGTCCCACTGGATGTTAATTTGCTGTGTTTAAGGTGCAAATTAAATAAGATAGATAGATATGAGATAATAGATCACTAAATGAGGGAGCATAAGACTGTTCAAAGACTTACCCAATACTTTTAGTAAACTACAATCTCATATATAGCCACCATTTCTATCCCTAGCTGTTAATCTATTTCACTCAAAAATCAGTTGATCACCTTTATCCCATCTTTAGGTAACAAATATAAAAAATTTAAACAGGACCATCATTAATTGTCAAAATCATCATTTGACCATCATTTTAAATTATTGTAAATTAAAATTACAAATCTATATTTCACATACGTCAAAACAGGGAATATCACACGGTTAAACACAGTTCTTTAGTTTATAACAATATTTCTTAAAAGAATGCACATAATATATCATAATTATATAGCAACCCCCATGATGGGGACTCCAAGTTTTATAATAATAATATCCCACACATTTTAAACAGAATTCGACCTTACTATCTCTTTCGTGATTTTTGAGTCATGGGAACTCGAGAGTTCTTCAGTATTTTCAATTGTCGTTCTATTGCTTCCCTCATATTAATTTTATCAGGAATATGTACAAATCGGACCTGTTTTGCCTGAACACACATTTGTTCTAAACGAACCGTTTCCGATCTCTGGTTCGTAAATTCAACATTAATCATGTTAACATTCATATATCCATCTACTTGTGATATTTTACCCTCTGCATAAGATTCGTTTCGTAGTTCAACAATAGTTCTATGTCCCTCGCAAGCTTGTAATAACGCGATTAATGTTCTTTCCGCAAGAGCTCTTTCCCTTTTGCTGCCGGCCATGTTTAAATTTAAATATATATATTTACATAAAGTATTTCAGGTACATCATAATTTGCGTGCTCGGATCAGTGCGTGCTTGCTTCAGAGATAATAAAGATAAAATTGCACGTGTATTTTTAAAAAGCAAAATTATGGAAGATAAAGAGTTCAGAAAGAAGCGAAAAAAAATTTCCACTGGTGGCCCTTCAGGTATAGTTGGTATAGTAGAGTATTAAATAAGATCTGGACCCTAGTCGCGTATGAATAGACATAATTCCGTTGAGTTTCAATGCTTACTGGAATTATTAAATTATAAGTCTGAAAATAGAAAGAGAGTTGCCAAAATAAAATCCTTTAAATCCTTGAATAAAAGAGAAAGTAGAGGTTTCAAAGTAGAATGAATTATGAAAAAAATAAATAAATACTTAGAGAGAGCTTAGAAATTCAATATATTTTATTATTTAGTAGGTAACCTGTGTAGGTAGTCTCCTAGCTTTCTTGCAGTCACATACAGTATATTATACATCCAATACAGGTACACTAAAAATTCAAAATGTCTGCTGGTGAAACTTTTCCACTTTTCAATTGTGCAATGAAGTAGAATACAGGCAACTACAGAAATTGTAACATCATCAATATATTGCCAATGCATGCATGTGTACATGACATTTCTAATTATGAAAATAAAATGTGCCAGTTGTCTATCATGGTTGCCACTTGACAGGGCTACTGTAAAAGTCTACATAGATTCACCAAATGTTTCAACCTAACAGATTGTTTACAACTACATTGTGTAACATTAACAAATCTGTGAGATTATTGGGAATGTAAGTATTAAAATTTAACTTAGCACATGCCCTTTAGGACAATTGAACCAGATTCATTCAATTAAGTGCAGATGAATATGTTTATTATTTGTAGGTAAAAAGGTAAGGAAATTGAAGAAGAAATTCTCAAACCCTGTAGAGGAAGAGAGAGGTATTATTATTTTGTCATCTTTTCTCATATGCAAATTGATGCATCAAATATGGCTAGCACATCGTATACGTATTTTGTATCCTTTTACTAATTGTTTTCTCCTACATTTTCAGTTGAAAGTGTTGAACAAAATATTAAACCCAATGAAATGAATGAGTCTCGTGTCATTGAGGGCATAGACAATACAGAAGAGAATGAATATGAAGAACACACTTCCCTTAACCCAACAGGTACAGTAGTAGCGATCAATAATCTAACAAGAGTTCTACTGTTCAATTTTTTTTCCTTAAAACTGTTGTCAGACAATACAGAAGAGAATGAATATGAAGAACACACTTCCTTTAACCCAACAGGTACAGTAGTAGCATCAATAATCTAACAAGCGTTCTACTGTTCAATTTTTTTTCCTTAAAACTGTTGTCAGACTAGTTTTATCACTGATATAAAATGATAAATTCAATCGCCCCATTATTTCATCAAATTTTTTTTGCTAAATGTTTAAAAAATCGGTAGTACTGGTACCAAATTGTTATAAATGTTGCACACATATTATTATATACATAGAAAATAGAAGTATGTGTAATATGTGAACTAGGTTCTTACTCTTTTTCAGCATTGTCAACAAATGATGACACATCCTTTGAGTCTTTAAGAGAAAGTGTGTCGGAAAAAACGCTAAGGGCTATTTCAGATATGGGCTTTGTAAATATGACTGAAATCCAACATAAGAGTATAGTGCCATTGCTCAATGGAAGGTTTGTAATAAGTATAATTTATATTGCTGTGGTGCATGCAGGTATTATGACTTCAGAAGTGTTTTGTTTAATAAACTAAGCAGAACTGGGTATATAATATATACCCATTAATAATACAAGATCATCTGAACATTTCTTTAATTGTCTCCACAGGGAGAATTACTATCTAGAGAAATACATCCCTAAAGGCTAAAACTACATACACGGATGAGGGTTGTTTAGTTCTAGCCATCTCTGAAACGGTTTGACTAAATGAAAATTCAAAACAAGAAAATTGACAATTCAATGCAAATGCTTTCACTTGTGGAATGTGGGAACATACTAGTTGTTTGTGCTTGTTCAGATAAGCAAAGTTTTAAGGATTATATTGGATTTTTTAGTGTAAAGGCAGATGACATTACTGTATTTTGTCAGTGTTTTTACCTTAGTAATCCTTCCAATTTAAACTAAACTACACATATTATAAACTTTATATTATAAAAAACTTTATATTATATTACATAATGATAAATGTTCCCTAAAGCATTAGAAAGCTTAGTAAAAATTTCTCGACTTAAACATGTGGTGTGCATGTGTCTATAATAATAACTGCTACACAACACAGCATGGGATATACTTAACTTAACATAACATTTGTCCTCAGTTCAAATTTCCTGCAAAATTTTATAAGGAAATTCCAAACATTCCACTTTCCATATATATAATGTGCAGCTCTAGGTAATACTAGCTGCATAAAGAAAAACCTTTCTGATGTTGGTTTTAGAAGAAGCTCATGCTGTCCGGGCTTATGACGATAAAGTGTCAGAAAATTTTTGTCTTTAAAAATTTTGCCATAGCAGTGATTACATGAATTATATGCTGTTTTTATGTAATTAGCCATAATCATGTAAGGAAACGCCTTTTACGAAATAACCACATATTTTATGCTGTTTGCTTCAACATTTTATGTTCAACTTTTTTTTTCGGGAGGGGGCAAATTAAGTGCAACATTTGCATTCTATGTAGTTGGATTATGTTAATCTGAGGTTATTACCCCAACCTCATACCCAGGGTTTTATTACCTACGCTTCACAGCATTATCCCATAATACCACATCTAGTCTGTAGATAGTGTTTTTTTCAAATACGTGCATGTGCTTAAGTTTGCATGATTTCCCTAGCTTTTTACCTAAATATTTGTTGTGTAAATATCAATCTGCATTTGTTTCACAATACATTTATTATGTAGAGATTTACTGGGTGCAGCCAAAACTGGAAGCGGAAAGACTTTGGCATTTTTAATCCCAGCGATTGAGCTACTTTACAAACTTCAGTTTAAGCCCAGGAACGGTAAGATAATTTCTATGCTCAAAACGTTTTGTTATACTTTAAATTAATATAATTAGATCATATTTAGCTATGAAAATCGTCTATTGCACTGCAGGTGGCGACTAAACCTTCCCCCGCATAAACAAGGAATATAAGGCCTGGGGAGGACTCCCTTGGCACCTAATGTTCATTTGCATGGTTTGCGTATATCTGCATGCTCCATGTGCTTATGTTTTGTTCATCTCCATGTCAATCGTAGCATATAAAAAATGATCAAACGTATTTTGCCAATTCCGATTCGATTCGATTTAACCGTATATTCTCTATTTGCTTAAATTATCAGCCGAAAACGATTTTGGTTCATATAATTATATTGCTTATTTTTTAAGATCATAATTTTTACTGGAGAAATTAACTAGAATTTTTAAGGTTACCCAAAGTTCATCTAAGGTTCATCGGAAGTTTAGTATAGCCTATAGGGTTACCCTCGCCTTTAACGATGTAAGATATCTCAAAATCAAATTTGCTATCGTTTAAAGCGCGCAATAAGGTATTCTTTGACATACAGTAGATCCGCATGCCGCTTTCTTTCTTATCATATAACGATGTTAGCAATATTTTTTCTCAGGCACAGGGGTAATCATAATTTCCCCAACACGAGAACTTTCCCTACAAACATTTGGCGTGGTTACAGACTTGATAAAACACCACAATCACACGTATGGCATCATTATGGGTGGAGCCAATAGAAAGAATGAGGCTGAAAAGCTTCAGAAGGGCGTCAACCTGTTAGTTGCAACGCCAGGACGACTCTTAGACCATTTACAGGTGAACGGATTTTTTAAAATAGCTAAGGCTATGTAATACACTGTCAGCGTGTTTTTCATGTTGATAATTTTTGTTCATCATTAGTAAGTATCATGTTCATGATAAACATTATATTAATATTATACTATAGATATTTAATGTTAGGTTTGTTGAATTCAACGGAGTTCTATAGGCCTCTCCTAAAGGCCCGTTTACACCTGCAATTTTAGGTGCGATTTTATCACGAAGGCCAACTCAATGAAGAAAAAATGTCTTCGTGATTTTCCGAACTTTCAACAGGCAATGAGAAATTTGCCAACGATTTTTCCGATGATGATGTTTGTCGAGTAAATTGCATCCCGCCTCTGTTTAACAAAATTTCGATGAAAATACACTTTTTATTTGCAAAATTTAAGCATTTTTAAGTTGTTTTCAAGTCTAAAAATTACAGATAAATGTGGTAAATATATCCGAGGTGTTTGGTATCTAGTTTTTTTTTTCAAGAAACTAGGGTAATTTTTGTGTTTCCAGCGTTGGTATTAATGTATGCATTAAAAATATTTGTGAGGGTTGCCAGCCTTAGGATAATTATACACATAAGAAAGTATGCGGTACCCGCATTGACTGGGCTCCCTCTGATTTTATGTGCGATTTACTTCTTTTGATGGATGTGAACAAGAAATTAATTACGAATGTACTCGTTCACATCTATCAAAAAAAGAAAATCGCACATAAAATCGCAATTGTAAACGGGCCTTAAAAAGGCGGTTTTCCACTAGGCGGAGTTTTTCGATCGAACTAAATTTTTCACTCGATTCTCTTTTCAATTGTGACCGGTGAAGGAAATCCGCTACGCTCGAATTATCATAATTCTTGGTTTGCATTTGACGTCATAATGTTTGCATATGACGTCATAATCAGTCATCAGCAGTGAACTCTAATAAGACTGGAACGATAACTCAACAATAAAGACTAGTCATTGGATGAAGCCGATTTGAATATAATTTGCTGGTTAAGGCGGCAGCCGCGCGAGCAAATCAAGCCTTCAAAAGAACTGTGCATGGAGAGTGAGAATTCCGTAAAAATCGTATTTTTTGGCAAAAATTGCCAGAAAAGTGCAATTTTTATTTGACCACTTCAACTTTAAACAACGAAGTTACCCTTTTTTGATAGACCTAAGTAATCCGCATCATCTTACTGTAAAAACCGGCGAGGTACCAGCTTTGTACTTGAAATATTTAAAGAATTTGAACGGGCCGAAAAAAAACTTCGCCTTCAACTCGCAAAAAAATAGGTTTGCACCTTTTCACGTTCATAAAACTTGTTTTTTGTAAAATCTAAGTGTCAATGCTTGTTTTAAGCTTTTATTCATGATCAGATGAGATGGATTTGTATATAAAAACCGGCGTTGTTTTGGTGGTGTAATTTCAACTCTTGGCCTTCATGGCGGCCATCAGTGCTGGCTTCAAAGATGGCGGCCAAGTTATCGTTTCAGTCTTATTAGAGTTCACTGGTCATCAGTGATTAGGCGCCATCTTGGTTGATTCTACAAAGTTCTGCTTTTCAAGAGAACAAACTGCGTTGATTTACTTTTTCCTTGTTTATTTTGTAACTGCTTATCATCTCTGTCATATATTGGGTGGGAATAAAATATAGCAACGACGAAAAAATTATTTGTGCAATGTTTTGAAAAATCAACCAAGATGGCGGCAATTGCAAACCACCTATTGAAAAGAATGTCAGACGAAAAATTTCATTCGCTCGAAAAATTCCACCTAGCCTAGTGGAAGACCGCCCTTAGGACGTCCTTCTCCAGGACACTAATTCCACTTCCGGTACTCGTGCAATATCACAAACATTTATCAGTCAACAAATGTATGACGACTCTTTTGAAGTTATTCATTATTTTTTCTTAAATTAATTGGAATTAAGAAAATGCAGTTATTTCAAACTAACTTTAAAGGTTAATCTGGTTCAAAAAGAGTTGAGATTTCGCTAAAAATTTAAGTTTATAAAGCTATTTACGGCACATTTATATTTGAATTTGATAGCTCGAGTTCGTTGTATTTGATAGAGGGTTTAAATATTTAAATAGCTCGAAATGCACGCTGAAAGCTAAAGCATTAAAATGCATAATTCTTCCTTGCAGAACACGCATGGGTTTAAATTCAAGAATTTGCAATGCCTCATAATTGATGAAGCTGATCGAATATTGCAGATTGGCTTCGAAGAAGAAATGAAACAGATTATTCGAATTTTACCAGGTATCATATCAGACTAAAGTAAGCCCCTAAACGATCAGAGAATGGTGTATGAAGCCCCGTCTACACTACACTCGACTCGATTTTATAAAATGGGTACCCGTGCCTATTTCATCTGTGCTCGTCCTTTGTTTAGCACTAATAAATTGTTTAGCACTAACTTTGAACACTAATAAAATTGGGTACGGGTACCAATTTTAGCCGTGCCGTGCCAATAAATTCTGTCTGGTGTAAACGCAGTTTGAGTGGCATATCCTCCTAAAGCAACCCTTACTTAGCCTAAAATAAAAAAATGTGATAAGATAGCAGCAATACACTTTGTGAGAAGGATAGGAATACGATTTTAGTCGGTCGACTAAATATTTGCGTGTGCGATGTCATTTTTAAGCGATTTGATTTGGCAGACTTGCAATCGGAATATATTCAAACAGATATTTGAGGATTAAAATCGACCGGCTAAAATTGTACAACAAAAAAGTGTCATGTGCGCCTGGCAGCCTTGTACCCAGGCGCTTTAGTGGAAAAAAGATATAACGTTGCATTCAGCTGTTATATAGAGGTCAGCTGAAAATTATCGAGCGCGCGGGGATGCTTGGGGTGCGTTTTATATTTTACTACTAAAGTGCCTGGGTACGAGGCTGTACGCCTGTCTTTAGATGTTGATTCGACTGTTCGTGCATGCAAAAGGGAATTGTTTCGCATGCACTTGTCGAGGTTTCGTGTATGTATGAACAAAATAATCTATTTCGATTCAAACTAGGTCGTCGAATGACGGTATTATTTTCTGCAACACAAACGAAAAATGTTGAAGATTTAGCGAGAATATCATTAAAAAAAGCTCCATTGTATGTGGGCGTTGATGACAATAAAGAAACAGCAACAGTTGAAGGCTTAGAGCAGGTTGGTATAATTAACTAGGAACCATCTTATTAGCCGCCTCAGGGCCGGTTTACATGGCGTGAGTTATCCCGGCTAGGCGAGGTAAAAAGCGCATCACATCATTAGTCGTTCATTATATGTAGTTCTCACCTCGCCTGGCCGGAATAACTCGCTCCATATAAACCTACATTTAAACAGGCCCTTATAATACACATTAATTTCTTAAGCCACGTCTATCATTCAAATTAGACCAGTATTTTGAACTTTAATGAATGGGTAAATCGGGGAATTTCCACTATCTTTACTACTTCTGCATGCATACTCATTCCAACAATGGTAAAATTAATTTCGAGACTAGCCTTGATTAGAATGTCATTTAATGATACGCAGTAAGTCAATCGAAATGCTTCAATTGAGACCATTATTCGTTGTGGCATTTATAGAGTTTTAGTGTCTTCAAGTTATGACTATGAAATTTAAGGTATAGCCTACTCAAATGTATGACGTCCGTGACATAACGTGAAGACTTATTTTTGTTATTTCTAGGGTTATTTAGTTGTGCCGTCAGACAAACGTTTCTTGGTCTTATTTACGTTTTTGAAGAAGAATCGGGATAAGAAAGTAATGGTGTTTTTTTCATCTTGTCATTCTGTGAAATATCATTCTGAACTTCTTAACTACATTGATCTGGAGGTGCTTGACATACACGTGAGTATGGATTATGCATCGTTTTTTTAAGTCATACAGGCCTTCGAAATGGGAGTGGGGGTTATGAATTTATCAATTATAACTGCATGAATTTCAAACTTCCTGGTACCATGTATCACGCCCCGATATATTCAATAGCAATTAATCATCATCACACCGATGTGCATGTGCATGAGAATTGTCACGTTGACGTCAATAACGGAGGATGTTTACGTTGAACAATTGCTTTGCCAAAGCTGATTTCGTATGTATACGAGGAACAAGAATAGCAAGATCAAGAAGTCAACCTCTTGGTAACTCAGCCACTGCAAACAGACTCATCTGAAATTGTCATGTCACTTAGATGAATCGTGAACCGCTAGCTCTGATAAAAGTGTAAATTAACCTGAATTAAGATGAATAGAAAACTGTCTGAAGAGGTGCTATATTATGAAAAAAAAACTTTTGAAATCCTCCATGGAATTATTCTCGCTTAACGGTAATAGTAGCTAATGGACAAGGATTAGAAAGAATTGGAGGTTGTTTTTTTCATAGGGCAAACAAAAGCAACAGAAGCGTACAACGACATTTTTTCAATTCAGCCAAGCAAAATCTGGTATCTTACTTTGTACTGACGTCGCAGCTCGTGGCCTTGATATCCCTGAGGTAGACTGGATCGTGCAGTTTGACCCCCCTGATGATCCTAAGGTAAAGTTGCAAGTTATATATATATATATATATATATATATATATAATAATATATATATAATATATATATATATATATATATATAACTTTGGTTTTTCACACGCGCGAAGGAATAAAGATTTTATCGAGAAATATATATAAATCTTGCGCATCGTTGGAAACCGGCAAACAACGATTTTTGCCGCGTACTTTCATTTGCCTCCGCTGTAGTTTCATCCACTACTAAATTTAAGCGATTATTTAAAGATAAAACAATCTGTAATTAATTAGCGTGTAGGTACAAGTGTTAAATACTTACGTGGTGTACCTACAAGCTAATTTACTTATTGATGTCACCATGCAAACATACAAGACCTATATGTTACTATAAAACAATCTATTGTAGAAAATACATATTAATTACGCAAAACAAATAACAAAATAATGTTTTACGCGAAATAGAGTTTTAACTTATAAGCACCGTTCCAACCACACTCCAACAGTTTTTACCTAGTAATAATTTTAAATTGAAATATCTTCGTTAAGCGTCGTATGTGTCTTTGATAACAATCGAATTAATATGTTTTAGTGAATTGGGCGATATTTATTAGAGATATTCACATATTTTTAAAAAAGAAGATATTCCGATTGCTAGGGTAGCCTGACCCAATTTTATTAAGTGCCTTTTATTTAGTTCGCTTTAGATTGTAGGAATCAATAAGGATCAACATAGCTGACGTGTAAATTGTGCTCCGTAATTTTTAAAATTTTATCACCTATTTGAGCTCTCAAAATGTGGGAATTCGAAGATATTTCGTCAAGTGATTACAATTCGTACTTAAATTATGATGGCAAGCGAATTAAATGGTCACATAACCTTGAGGAGCTAGTGAAATTCGTTGAAGACATTCTCAAAATATCTGGCAAATGGTCCTCACCTGGTGGCACCGCACGAAAGTTTCCAAGTTCTGATGTGGACCTAACTTTGACTTGGTATCGCGGAAAACAAAACACGTTATTACTGCAAGGGAAAGCTGGCATCATGTTAAGAGACGATTTAATCAAAGTTTGCAAAAAAAGGTACAATGCTAACGGTATAAACTCCTCTGATGACCCGAATATAATATTATCTGCTGATCCCTCTCACGTTAATGCATTGAAAAATCCAGCAGATTATGACAAAAAAATTACTATAGATCGGGAGAGTCAAACTGATCAATGCATCGCAGAAAGGCGTCCGTGTGATTCGGTGGACTTGCTAGAAAACATTAAGTTCGATATTGAAGTCTTTAGTCAAGGGTCGACTCTTTGCAGAGTTTGGAATGTATTACTCAAATATGTTCAATTAATGACTTTGTATCCGAAATAAGTCGCCTTAGGGTTGAGCTCGGGGACGAAAAGGAGAAAGGTCGAAAATTAGAATCTGATATCCTGTTTCTTAAACAAGAAATTTCATATTTGAAATCGAAGGAACAAATGTATGAAACCCTCAATAACAAAATTAGCAATGCGAGAAATATCTGTGCGGAAACAAAGCCCGTACCGCTTAAAGAGCCTTTACATCCTAACTGCTCAGTCGAAATCCTAAATCAACCACCCGCATCAATTGTCATAACCAAGGAACTTGTCCCCCAAATGGCACCCGAGCTACATATTAGTAATGATTTAAATTCAAATCATCATTCAAAAGGATCTCAAAATTGTATACCAGAAAAATTGCAACCAATGATCAACCAGAAAGCACATTGTTGTGACCCAGAGCAAAAAATTACGGAACGATCATCGCCTATTAGTAAAGGGAAGGTATTAACCTGTGATCCAAGACCAGATTTTAAATCTCGCAAGTGTCTTTCTTATTTACCACTTATAAACGCACCCAATTGCGATTATAGTCCTGTCAACAGTGCAAAATTTAACTCTAATAGTGTGCAAGAAGATCCCACAATTAGTCAAGTAATATCTACAAACACAATCCCGGTCCGAATCACCAGTCGCTGCGATAAGCGTAATATTTACAGCAACCGAGAATGTAAAGGAAGGAAGAAACATGGTTACAAAAAGAAAAACCATACCCGTTTTTTTCGACATACGAGAAACCACAGTCGCCCCCCTGGATGGAAAGAGAAATGGAATGCTTATTTGGACTTCGTTCACACAAGTTTGCATCCCGATCACCCGAGTATGTCTCACCGATTACATCCCGATTACACACGATTACACCACGATCTCCCGGAAAAGATACTCATATAAATTCCATTCCGCCCTCCCAGCCACCTCTGACAGGAAAGGAGTCACGATGTGTCACTTATGTTCCCCCCATTATGTTGGCCAACGTCATGTCCCTGGTTTTCAAGATTGATGAGCTAGCGTATGTAATTGATAAACATAATCCTGATCTTGTTTTTATAACGGAAACCTGGTTGAAATCTAACATTCCGGGCAGTGTAATTAACATTGATAACTATAGCTTGCTCAGACTTGATAGAACCGAAAGAGAACACGGTGGAGTGTGCATATATGTGAAAGAAAAACATACATGTTAGAATATTTGCAGTCATCTCTGAAGCGAAATACCCGAAATGTGGACTGATTATCGCAGGCGACTTTAATAAATTGCCTGTTGGGCATATTTCTCGACAATTCCAACTCAAACAAATTGTTAACTTTCCAACAAGAGGCTCGAGTAAATTGGATTTAGTTATGACAAACCTTGCTGATTTTTATGATACACCTTTTTGTGCCCCACCACTGGGTCTGTCAGATCATGTAACTGTTCTTGCGTTACCTAAGCTCAGGTCGAAAGACATTCAAACGACACAAGTATGCCATGTACGTGATAAAAGACCTAGCACTGTACGACGTCTCGGTCGGTTTTTCTGTGAAGCTCCATGGGATCTTGTGATCACTCCTGAATTCAGTTGTGAAGAAAACCTAGATACTCTAACCAACATTATCAACTATGGATTAGACACTCTGGCGCCACTAAAAACCGTTAAGATACGGGAAAATGACCGACCGTGGATGAATTGTAATCTCAAATCGCTGATCGATAAAAGGCAAAGAGCTTTTGCACAGAATAACGATATTTTATACAAACAGTTGCGAAATAAAGTTAATAGAATGAGGAAAAAGTGTCGAAAAGCATATTACGAAGCTAAAGTAAAGGATATAAAGCAAAGTAAGTCTAAAGATTGGTAGTACGAGGTGAAACGTTTGTGTGGTCTTCCGTCAGGATCAGGATGTAATTCCATATTTTCAAACTTAGAACACGATATTCAGGATCCTGTCACACTAAGTAATACGATTAACAGTACTTTCTTGGAACCCATGCAAGGATATCTCCCTTTAATAATATCTCACCCATGACAGAGAATAACGCTACGATTGTTGTGACTGAAACGGAAGTGTGGACACACGTACACAGCATCAAATCGGGTAAATCAAGTGGTCCTGATAACTTACCAAACTGGGTTCTGCGGAAATTTGCAACTGTATTGGCATCTCCTATTGCAACAATCTTGAATGGTTCTTTTAAAGATGGCCGGTTGCCTTTGGTTTGGAAATTGGCAAATGTTTGTCCGATCCCCAAAAGTAAACAAGTGTTAGACATTAACAAAGATCTTAGGCCCATCTCATTGACCTCAACTTTGTGTAAAATTGCAGAGGATTTTGTAATCACGAGGGATCTTCAACCGACGTTAATGAAATGTATTTATCCTAATCAATACGGGTTTATACCAGGATCAAGTACCACCCTTGCATTGATTTCTTTGATCCATCGTTGGTCAGAGACAGTGGACAAGGCGGGTGGGTCTGTGCGAACACCTCTAACGGACTATCGTAAAGCGTTTGATCTTATAGATCATAATATACTTTATGAGAAGTTACGACGACGTGATTTGAAACCATCGGTTCTAAATTGGATTGTCGATTTTCTACGTGGAAGATTCCAAAGAGTGAAGCTTAATTCAAACTGTTTTTCTACGTGGAAACCAGTTAATGCTGGGGCTCCACAAGGGACGAAGCTTGGTCCGTGATTATTTCTAGTAATGACTAATGACCTCTCGATCTCAGATGACCAGTTCATGGGTGATATGATTAAATATGCTGATGACACCAGCATTTGGGAGAATCTCACTTATCAAGTTAATACCAACTCTATCCAAGAAGTGACAGATTCTATTGTGGATTGGTCCCAACGCAACAAGTTTGAACTTAATCCGTCTAAATGCAAGGAAATGGTAATTAATTTCCAACAGAGTGAGCCTGATTTTGCCCCTATTTTGATGCAAGAACAAATCACTGCTCGAGTAGAAAAGGCAACAATACTGGGCGTTTTGATAAGCCAAGATCTAAAATGGAATGGACATGTTGATAAAATAACGACGAAAGTTGCCAAGCGTCTTTATCTATCAAAGCAACTCAAGAAGTCTGGTCTTGACAGTAACGATTTAAAATGTTTTTACATTGCATCGATCAGGTCGATTCTCGAGTATGCTTGTCAGGTCTTTCATTACGGCCTGACAAAATACCTCTCAGACATAATCGAAAGAATCCAAAAAAGAGCAATGCGTATCATTTTTCCTGATCTATCGTATGAAGATGCTTTGGCTACTCTTGATATGAAGCATTTGTGGGTGAGAAGAGAAGACTTGTGCAAAAAACTTTTTAAATTAATAGTTAACGATGCAAACTATAAACTCCATCATCTTTTACCTATGAAAGTTCCGGATATGTACAATCTTAGAAGTTCGAAACAATTTTACATTCCTAACTATCGTACAAACAGATATAGGGACACGTTATAATATCCAGTCTCTTAAATGAATAGTAAATTATATAGATGTTTTTTACTAGTAGTGTACAGTATAATTTTTGTAATGTTTTTAAATTGTTGTATAGCCTCATGCAATTCAGCCGATTGGCTGCCATATGAGTATTATTAAACGGTTTATCTATCTATCTTTCTATCTTATAACCGTCCTGCATCATTTTGTACATCATGTATATGTTGGCTTTGAACACACCGAAATCGAATCCATTTATTAATATATTCCCATGCACTGATCTAAAAAGGCACACAATTCCCATTTGACATTTGTTTATTAATTTTTGTCCACGCAGAAATTTTCACCCTCCTAAGAATTTGAGCCTTTACTAAAATAACCCAAAACGTGCGTGGCTCCGTACAAATCATAAAATTTACTCTAATTTACAGACTATTAGAATTTTACAATAGTACATAGCTACATGTAGTCGTACAATAAATTACTTACAATAGTGACTTAGAAGTACTCAAAATAAAACCCGTTGTGCCCCAGTGTGACCCCCCTTACACTACATTTGGTTTATTGGCACGGCACGGCTGAATTCTATTTTAAAAAAATCTTATAAAAAATTTTATTTCGGCTCAGACGTACAAAGGTCGCGGGCATAGATAAAATTGGCAGAAATACCCATTTTAGCCGTGCATGCCAATAAATCGAGTGTATATAGTGTAAGGGAGTTACACTTTTTTTTACGCCTTGATGGATCTCTTTAAGTGATTGGTTAATTATCTCAAGTGATTGGTTAATGATTGGTTAGTGATAGGTTAATCATCTTAAGTACACCATACAGGACAGACGTAACCTATATAGTTGTACGAATTATAGAAATTATGAGAAATAATGACATATTAAATATATCGTTCCTTTATCAGGAATATATTCACAGAGTTGGGCGAACAGCGCGCGGTGCACACGGAAAAGGACACGCTCTTTTATTCTTACTTCCTGAGGAACTGGCTTTCCTTCGCTACTTAAAACACGCAAAGGTAAATGTTGTACAGAAAAATAGGTTTATTACGATTGGCAATAAACCCTCCAACCACGTAAGGTGTGAAATCGTCCTGGCGTGTGGTTTGGAAGCTGTCAACAATAAACTTAGGGATGTCGGAATTAAGGAGATAACGGGTGGTCAAAAGCTCTCATAACGAGATACGACAACGTCAAACTCACTTATCTACGAAATAATTGTTCGGCCATGAGTTAAAGATAGTGAGGATGAAGTTCACTTGCCTATCTTTCCTCATGATCGCGAGGGTCAATTAGCCAACGAGAAACCATTGTTTTCAACCGTTTATTCCCTAAACTTGTCTGTTTCCTTGTTTAGGTTCCTCTTAACGAGTATAACGTGTCGTCGTCCAAGATTGCCAACATTCAGTCCCAGGTAAACCGTACAAATGAATCGTAAACCAAATATTTTTGACTATTTTCTGAAATCTTTTTTTGAAAAAGACCATTTGAATGCAACAATAAAGCTAGCTTAAAACTTGAAATTTCTCTTCGGTATATTATTGCATGCTTTTACATAAGCACTTAATATTCTAAGAAAAACTGAAGTATACCAGTCAATAATTATGCCATCAACATACGATTCTTATCACACGAACAAACCAGTCCGGTTGGACGTGGTCAGTTGGTGACGTGTTGGCAAATACAATTGACAAATTTCTTTTGGACCTTTTCTGGAAACTAATTGAATTTCTTCTATTCGTGATTGTAATCTTTGATTTTCATTCCAGCTTGAGAAATTGATCGCAAAGAACTACTACCTACACAAGTCTGCGAAGGAGGGCTATAGGTCGTATCTTCAGGCGTACGCCTCGCATCAACACAGAGATATATTCAGCGTGAATACGTTAGATCTGCAGAAAGTTGCAAAGGCTTTCGGTTTTCAAGTTCCCCCTGCTGTAAATTTAGGTATCCTTTTTAGGGCTTGAAAGGGCCTGTTTTAATGAGGGTTTCGCATTTAAAGGCATAAACACACAAAAGTTCACAGAAACTTTGCAGTATTGTGATGAGTGGCGAAAATTTAAATCAGTCAGTCAGTCAGCGAGTCATTGAGTCAGTCAGTCATAGTATAAACTTTCCGGGGGGTGAACTTGATATGTGTTTTTAGCGATATTTTGTGCATGGCCCGATTTTTTCTCGAACTTCGCAAATGTGCATGTGCCATCGGGCCTTGATCAATAATCACAATGGAAAACACAAGGAGCGACAGAGTGTTGTAACGCAAAAATCGAGTAAATTCTAGAAATTCTACGCAATTTATAGATTTGTGTTATGCATTAGGAGCATTCAGTAAGACACAGATATCATTAGGACGGTAAATTCATTAAACAGAGAGCTAGGAAGAAACAACGCTGTGCTGTTTATTTATAGACATCTCCTTTATACTATAAAGCCCGAACATCCGACGCAGTACTGAAATAATTTTCTATTATATATACAGAGAAGGAACGAGACCGTAGCAATGTTATTTTGAAATTTTGAAACAATTCAGATGTTTATATTGATTAACGTGCAGGCATTACAGAATGTTTACATAGTCTAGGCAACTAAAATAGAATTCAATAATAGTCAAGGTATATGAGTTTGTATGCATTTCATTTAGGAGAGGTAAACTCAACTGTTTTAGGGTAAATTGACCATGGCGGTCAACATGGTAACGCTGCCGAAACATAATGCAGGGCGAAACATTCGAAACTGACCACACCCAAAAACGGCACATTCACTATAGTGCTATCTGCCAAACCAAAAAAGCTTTGACTAATCTGAGTTGCTTATATGGTTCAGAGATGGTGCTTTTAGGGGTGGTCATTGGTAAGTAGAAAATGCCAATAACACTAATACTTTACAAGAAAATGACCATGTATTACTCATGCACAAGTGTCAAATTGTGGCTTACAACTTCAAATAAACATATTCACATTTCGTACATTTTTAAATATATTCTCACTGTTTGGTGTAAAAAAGTTAATATTTTGTGACTGAAATATTAATTTGAAAATTCCCATCTTTATTCCCCTGTTTATCAGCGAAAATCGTTTGAATCCTTCCAAATATGAAAGTCGGTCGAGACCAAACATTCACGTTTTTAACAAGTTTCCAGAAGTTTTCAAGGAGATTTAAACAGTTTAACCATGGACAACGTAAAACCTCAACTTTGACCGAATACGGCACCATTGTGTCATCCCCTGTCGGTTATAAACAATTCCGCGTTGTTATTCTTACATTCAAGACCTTTTAATTTCAGCATTAACAAATATGACCTTTACAAAGGAGTCCGACTTTAAAAATGAATGAAATATGAGAAATAGCAGTATTTTACCATGAATATGCACACGAATCGTTCGAAACAATCCGTATAGATTTTCACGCGAGGAACGTGATAAGGAGGACCTGCCAGATGGATTGACCTCTTTTCGCACAAAGAAAAAAAAGCTGCATGCAAAAACAGAGGCCCAATAACTGTAGTTATTTACTGGATAGTGCCAAAGCGTTCTATGTTTTGTGTATTTCAGATGCGGCTTTCTGTCATCTGTGAAGATATTCACCCCCCCTGTCAGAGCTCTGTCCCGTTACTGGTGTATGGTAATTTTCTTGTAAAGTATTATAAAGCGTTAGGCATTTTCTACTGACCATATAAACATCTCCGAACCATATAGACAGCTCAGATTAGTCAAAACGTTTTGGTTTGGCAGATAGCACTATAGTGAATGTGCCGTTTTTGGATGTGGTCAGTTTTGGGATGTTTCGCCCTGCATTATTCTTCGGGCAGCGTTACCATGTTGTCCGCCATGGTCAATTTACCCTAAAATGGTTCAGTTTACCTGTTCTAAATGAAATGCATGCAAACTCGTATACAGGTCCTTGACTAAATGGCAATATCGCGGCGAACGTAATTTGAGTACTTTAGAGTATGATTTCTCCAAGCTTTGGTAGTAAATTTGTATCTTTGGATCTACCATCTACAATATCAACTCTTTAATTCACATCTATAGCTATAAACAAATATTTATTGAAAATACAATCAACTTCAACCCTGCTATAGGAAGCATACAAATTTTGCCATATTCGTGTGTGGTGCTGCATATTGAGCAATTGTAATATTAGCCGTTTGACCACGTTTGATCCGGGTATGTTTAACCTGCTTCTTTAGATTTTTATTGGCAAAAGTCAAAATCCTGTATGTTGCGACAGACGCCTGGTTGCCTTGGTATCGGGAGGGCACTCAAATTTTGCACTATCCTTGGATCCCTAGTTATTATAGTCTATAGATCCGCTTTCTGGTGTGATATTAGTCTCCATGCACTTGTCACGAGACATATGAATATCTGTATGTAATATTCAATCGTAGAAAAAGTACCCTTGACAAAAGAAATAGCTGTCCACAGCAGTAAAGGAGAGCGACCTCGAAAGCGTGGAGGTGGTGGCGGATTTGGTATTGGTTACAGAAACTCTAAAACGATGAAAAAAATTAAGACTTTCAAACATAAGAAGGTTAACAAAGATACCAGACAGTTTAGTAGATAGAATGTTCAACGTGTCTGACTGCACGGTTTTATCGTGAGCAAGATGCATTGGGTGGTCACTTTTTTAATCATATAAACAATTCATATAAACAGTTACCGGTCCTCTATTTTTGATGACAGAACCTATACGTAATGACAGAACATTTTCCCCTGAGTTTCAATACTTTATAGACGGCCATGAACACGCATAAGGCCTGCATGTTTCAAACGTTGTGGTGTTTTAAAGTATCCACAAACTCGGAATTCACAAGAAATCCACATTATACCACAAAAGATTTAAGTTCTCTAGTCTTTTGACCTTAGTTTCAGCGTTGCTAGATTACCGGAAAAATATTATTATGGTAAACTTCAGTTCAAAGGGCCGCTTATAAAACTTTTAGGCTCATTTGTTCAGTAAGCTATCATCCCTGATCAATGAAACAATTTGATACGAAGTCACCGAGGAATATTCTCAAAAAATAGAAAATTATTTTTACAAAAACTCTTTTAGGGCACAGAATACCTATCAGAAGGACAACTCCATTGTTTTTTGCGTAAGTGTGAATTTTGAGTTGTCCTTCTGATAGGTAGTCTGTGATCAGGGCCCATATCTGGCATCAGCACGAAAAAATTCGTCATGTTTTTTCGCTTCGCTTTTTCAGGGAGTTCTCGCGACCAAAAAGTGAAGCACGAAACATGGCGGATTTTTTCGTTCTTAACAATTCCGAAGTGAATATCTAGACGTTATATCTAGTCTCCCTCCATTCGGAACAATCAGCTTCCAGTATATCCATGCTCTATCTCATAGGGTCTGAGATTCACAAATTTTATTGAATTACGAGTGATTTTTTTTAATTAATTAACAACTCTATATAGACTATAGGGTCACTAATGAACTAATCCCTTGTAAAGTAGCTATTCTCTAAGACGGTTAAAGCTTGATTACGTTTGTTCTATGGGACATAGAGTCCCTCGAACAAGATAAAAGATCGCGAGGGGCTCCATGCAGTAGTGACCATATATTTTATTCGAGGGACTCTATATCCCATAGAACACACGTGATCTTACTCTAACCCGTACGTAATATTTAAATGTATATTCAGTATAGAGGGCTACGTACAGTTGTAGATAACATAATACTACATGCAGCTATATTTTAACAAACTATTGGTTTGTATTATATTTCGATCGATTCGCAATCGATTATATAAATGATGCACCGCGCACGATTTATTTACATTAATACATAATACAACTACAAATGTTGTTTTATTCACTGTTTTGTTGGAATCTGTTCCGATGAACTGCTCCGATTTCCAGCAGATCTAGATCCCCCCTAAATTGACGCCCGGCCATGTTCGGTGTGTATGTTGCTAGGGGGGGTTGTTAGGGGGGGTTGTATTCGGTAATTTTGCAATTCTAAGTTACCTTCAGCTCTCCCCAGAAAAAGTAGCCAAAGAGTTCGAGCTGTGCACCACAACTCTTGGGAGACAAAACTGTGACTCAGATAAATGACTCAGATAAGTGACATACACTTTTCAAATACTAGTATATTTCGCGCCAAAACAGACATTCGACGACGAAAAATAATAAAGAAATAAACAAAACCTATGCAAATTTTCAACTCCGTCGCCGGAGTAATAATTTCAAAGAGAAAAACATTCCTTTCAGGGTCTCGAACCTCCGCCTTGCCTCGGGAGAGCATTGTCTTCACCACTTTTATTATACTGATACGAAATAATAATTTCAATTTTTTCATTTTAATTTTAGTTATTTCAGGACAGTGGGTTGGCGTTGAACAGAGTGTCTATAAAATTATGTGGGGGGTCACAACCCCGCCGCTTGTTCGAAATGCGTTGAGCCGAAGTTTAAAAATATTGTCATACATCTTGTGTGTAGTACTTCCATTGAAAATTAAACTAATTACATCGAAACAATTATGATTTGGGCACTTCACTCGATGTAGGAATATTCTAGAGGTTTAAAGGGTCTTAATTTCGAGTGGTATTATACACACTTGAGATTCAAGCCAGGAACAGCTGATTAAAAATTAGTCAACTTTAGGTCCTCTGGCAGGAATCGAACCTACGCTTTTGCGATGCTGGCAAGAGCATTGCACCGGCATCGCAAAAGCGTAGGTTCGATTCCTGCCAGAGGACCTATAGTTGACTTAATTACATCGAAACAATTATATCATACAGTTGTTCAATAATTTCAATAATAATTTCATTTTACATTTTCCTGAACGCCTTTCGAATGACTGGCCACTTAATTTGAGTAAATACATAAAAATTGTAAAAATTGTGCCAAATGTATGTGAGAATTTTGTGGAAACTCTGGTACACCGCCACCTCGTACCCAGAGTCTAGGTCACACAAGCTTTGTAAGTGGGGTGGACATATATTCATATTTTCGTGTTTTACAATATTCATTTCTTTTCAATGTCCACCCCACTTACCGCTGCTGGCGACGCCGCTACATGGTCTAGGTACGAGGTTGGGTAGACCGTACGCCGTGAAGCAAAAATGTTTTCCAAAAAAGTAAGGACAGGATCAACACAAAGTGTGTTTACAAGGACCGCCGAAGTGTTTCAAAGGAAAGGAGGAGGCGGCAAAAAATGAACCAGATATGTTGTGTTCAGTTGGGTCGACAGTGAAGCAGAGATCGATAGTCAAGCCTGCTGATATGACCAAGTATGATATAACATACTGACAATTTTAAAGAAACTTTGCATTGAATAAACACAACTACATATAGCTGGTATAATCTAAAACTACAAGATATTCTCTATTCTAGTAAATAGATGCACATAAACTGTTTTGGAATGCAAATGCGTAAAATATTAGCGTTCAATCCCACGAATTTTATGCAAACACAATATTATACAGCAACTGTTCCAGATGTACAAATCTATGGGAAAGAAATCCGTTTGCCTCTCTAGTTGATTTCATTTGCTGAGGAAAATGCCAGTTTGATGGTGAAGATAGTTCGCGCCTCTACATTAGAAAAAAGAGAAAATCCAATGACACGTGATACTGCATTTTATTTCCTCTTCACACCCTTTTCTTTTCTTGATCTTTCGTAAGAACCCCTAATCACGACTAGTCAAATTCTTACAATAGATTATTTCAATAGTTTTATTTGTTAATAATTTTAAGATAACGAATATCCTCAATCAGTATACCTTCATTCCGTACAACAGCATGATTTATCAACATCAATGAACTAAGCGCAGTGCTTACATCATCCCATTCCATTAAGCCTGTTGCACTCTTCGTGGCTAAATGGCGAAATAATGTACGAGAGAGTGTTGAATATATACTGGTATAAGGCACGGGTTTCAAACTGATTATATCACTGGATATTATAATTTGCGATGCCTAAAGGGCTTCTAAATGTTTCTAACAGTTGATATGGAGAAGGTTAAATATTTCTAAAATCTTAATTTGTCTTTAATTGGTTGGTTTCACTAGGCATTTTAATGCTTCCGTTTCAATCGTGTGTGTCGTAGACATGTCAAGGTGGACAATGTGATAGCTTAATCATTCAATGTGTGTGCAGTGAACAATGACCGATTTGAATATATAAATAAAGATAAATCTCATCAGTGAAAATGAGCAGACTTGATCACAACTAAATGGTGACAAGGCATAATCTATTATGTTAGTGGATTATGTCAATTCAAAACGCAACGAAAACAAATTCGAAACGCAGCGTAAATTATTTTGGGCATTTGGGTGGAACTAACGAGCTTGAAACAATGCGACACACTTACGCTTTGTTGCGATTACAGGGTGTCTCAAAAAAACCGAAAACTATTGAAATCACTCATTGTTAAAATTTTAATGCCGTGTTCACGAATTTCAGCCCGTGGGGATTTAATGCAACTTATAAAATGCTACATGCTTTGTGTTGCTAGAGAAAGGGAAATATGTCGAAGGTCATGGTCCTTGAGATGCACATTTAAATATTGTTATCATATTTTGTAAATTGTAAATATTGTTAAAAAATATCATTTTTGCGTACAAGCAAATTTTACTGCATCATATGCATGCATAAACATGCGTATGGCAAACATTTATACACCTGTGGATCCCAACAGAGTGCTTAGGCATTCAAACTCTAACAATTGTATTGTTATGGGAGATTTCAATAGTTTTCGTTTTTTTGAGACACCCTGTAGAAAACAATTACTATTATTAAGCCTGGTTTTCATTAATCGTCGTCGTAATTAATCGGCGATGTTTTACGATCGATTCTCGGTGACCAACGATAGATGATTTTTTTCGATAGATGATTTTTTTCGATTGACACAGGAAAACCTGGCCTAATTGCGCCTGAAATTCATGTGATGGATGCGCAGTGCTGCATGCTTTGTTAATTGGGAATGGAGACGCTGTATTTAGGGTGAATTATTTGTATTTCTGTGCTGCATGTAGTTGAAACATCTCCCCATGCATGCACTCAAATCACAGATTAGAATGATTTATGACTCCTGGTCCTCATATGTCACCGACAATCGGCGATGTACAGGGTGTCTCAAAAAAAACGCAACACTTAATATTCTAAAATTCATATTGTTCATAAGCTCAATAGATTTTATGCCCCTGGGATTTTAAAATAGCTTCTAACCGTACAGTTCAACTGCTAATAGTCAAATCAGCTAAACTAATAATGGTGCAGCTCACAACCGAACAACGAGTTTTTATTGTCGTGCATGATAACTTGAATGCTAACTGTCGACCTTGTAAAATAAATTGTAAATAAAATTTTACTCGTTAAATACTTTCAATTCAGCTCGTTGGTTTACGCACCCGACTTTGTTTACCGACGATTGTGCCGCTAGAATATGATTACAAGCTTTCTCGCATTCCAGGGGCCAAACGTCTTTTGTGTTGTAGAACAAAGAGGATATTCATGAATATTAAGTGGTTGCGTTTTTTTTGATACACCCTGTATTGTATGTGCCCGGTGACGATAATAACATTTATTTCACCGACCATCGGTGACATATAAGAACTAGGCTTAAAGCCTAGTCCCTAGTCCCCATATGTCATCGACAGTCAGCGATGTATTGTTTTGTGGCCGATGACGACGAAAATTTTGTTCAAAATAACAAAGCACTTCATTATTGCGTCGCACACTGCGCGAACGCAGTCTAAAATTGCCGTCGGTGTTTTGTTTTTTTTCTTTTTTTTTCGTGTTTTTTACGTTCGCCGGGATTCGAACTCGGGTCGTGCGAACCAAAAGCAGGAAACTGCATGCACGATCACGCCATATAAAATAACACGTACACGAGTCGCTGTGCATGGCCGATAGCGCAGGAAATCCGTTTGACTTACCATTTGGGAAAATCTTGATTTTTGACGGCGCCGTCACATCATTGTCTGTGAAAATCTGCAACGGAGAAAGAAGCTGTAAATTGCGCTTTAATAATAATACATAATACTAATTTACTGTTGCGAGTATTTTCAGAAATCCAAAAGATGATATACAAGTCCGAAAAGCAGAAGTAATGAACATCACCAACATACAAGAAACGCTAAGGTGGCTCTCCGTATATACATGAACAGTTTCTTGAAATAATTAAATGCACATTTTAGCCTCGCACCCAGGCGCTTTAATAGTAATATATATATATATAACATTGCATCAAGGTATTGTATAGAGTTCAGCTGAAAAAAGCAAGCGCGCAAGGGTGTTTGGAGTGGTTTGTTTTAGCGAGGAAGCGCCTGGCAGAAAATGACCGATTTCTGGCAAATCGTGACCGATTTCTGGAAACGGTTGTATTTTGCAGTTTTTATTTTCATTATTTATAATTTTTTTTCTGGAAACGCTTGTATTTTGCAGTTTTTATTTTCATTATTTATAATTTTTTTACTGGATCGACTGTCAACAGGCTAGCCAAGTATTATGAACGTTTCCTTTGGCGAAGAATCATCTGAAGGTACTTTTATTTCAATATATTTTCCGTCGGAGTGACTATATCGTAGAGTACTCGAATAATCGCCGGCCGTATTTACATATTTACTATTGGGAAAAGCGAGCGCATTTCAACATATTAAGAGGTTTCTGTCCATGACATAAAAGATAAACTTATATTCCTTTGTTTACAGGTTTAATAATTCAAGGATGTATTCAACGCGATATGGCAACAACTTGAGTTTAAAAGTAAATTGATTCCATACGTGATACTTATCGGATATAATTTGTAACATGAAATGTTCAATATTAATCAACCTATAACATTTTTAAAAACCGGTGTATCTGTAAAAACCTGGATCTAATTCAAGTAATTATAGTATATAATTATATTGTATTGTATTATATTGTTTATTCATTTGATTGTTTCCATGTTGAATTCATTTTCTGCCAGGCGCTAAATTTGGCAAAATCACCCCAAGCACCCCCGCGTTTTTTTTAGCTGACCTCTATTTAATAACTGAATGCAACATTATTTTTTACTATTAAAGCGCCTGGGTACGAGGCTGATGTTTTGCCAGAAGTTCAAAATTGCATATATCTAACAAGCAACATATTTAAACGGCTAAAACCTTTTTAGAACTGTCTGGCTAATGTTCTATGGCAACAGAGGCGTTTCAAAATGGCCGCCAAACAAGGTTTAATCGTGTTTATATCGCAAATCATTTTTAAAACGTCTCTTTTGCCATGGTAACGTATGCCTGTCACAAGTTCCTATAAAAGTCATTTTATTTTTTAGTCTTCTAGCCAAACATTTAGTTAATATCCCTGTTTAAAATGATTGTGCATTTAACTATTTCAAGAAGCTGTAGGGAGCCACCTTAAACTTATAATAATAGAAAAACAACAAATCTACTTAATTAAAACAACAAATCTACTTAATTTGTTGTTCGAAATTGATAAAAAAAAAGCATCAATGAGCCTATTCATCATGAAAATTCACAATTTTTATATTGCTATAGTTTGCATTTATCTTATAAAGTGTCTACGCCAACGTTCTCCATTGTGTTTTTAAAACATTATCTGATTGACCTAATATCATTTCTTATAGCTACAGACCAAAAGTAAATTATAAAATAATTTATATATTGCGATGGCAGTGTTTACGCAAACAATTCGCACTTATGTAAGTCCATACCTCGAGAAGGGATCCCTCGGTGCTATCAGGGGGAGCGTTGTAGAAATGAAGAACTCTTGTTGGGGTAAAAACTCCTGTCGCTAATTAAGGAAACATCGTTGCAACAAACATAAATCCGCCTTTGACCCGGTGCATGGCTGACGACAAAAAACGTAATCCAGAGTGCCCAAAGCCTGCCGCGGACGCAGAACTCACATAAATCATAAATGCAAAAAGTTATTTGCATTAAAAAAAAACAAAAGGATACTGTTCTTACTGATTGCTTCGGCTGTTGTGAATCTATGTAGAAAAAACGCAATGGGCATGTATGTCGGAAGAAATTATAATCATGGCCAACCACGCATCTTTCAATCTCTAGTGTAGTGGAGCCTTTACTTTCATTTTGAATTTATTCATAATTTAATAGTATTTCTTTATTTGCCGAAGGCGATTGACGAAATTGCTGGATTATAACCGAGAGTAAGTCGAAATGCATAAATATTTCAATAAATGATTAATTGAGAAAACTAATCTGTTGTAGAGAACACATTTTTTCCAAACAAAAAGATGTTGTATGGAAGTTTAAGACGCTGCTTGGTGTGAAATAAAGTTTGGCAGAATTCTGTAAGGTAGTTTTTTAACTCGAATTATTTTTAGCCAAATTTTCATGCCTCTAGGGAAATTATGGCGACGTACACTTTACCAGAATGAAAGCAATCGGAAATTGACGTCATTTGAAGATCATGAAAACAAAAGGTTATTTCCTTGTTGCACCTGTTCAAGCAAATTCATGATCATTTGGCGTTTTTCTGTGCATGCATTCCGGAGAATGCACATCCGCCATTACAAGTGCCTATATGTATGACGACCAGAAATGATACCTGTGTAGTTTTGAGTCGTAGAAATCTTTAAAACTGGTCTCCACACTTGGGTTATAATTTGCTGGACAAGTCAAGCTTGTTTGTTTTGAAAAACTTGAAAAAAACGGAAGGGTTTAAAATTAGCTTTGTATCACGGTATTATCCTAACTGAAATAAAAATACAACCACTAGTGTTTGTAACTGCAAGTGCATCTTATTTAAATCTTATTTATTACAAATTTATTTCACAAGTTGTTTGCGCGCTCGTGATTGTATATTCAATACAACACGGCCGCTTGTGTTATAAACATTACATATTGAATGCTAAATTAGTTTTCCAAAAATAAGCAACCAGTTTTGTCAACTTGGTCAAACCGGTCATTGACAATATATTGTTAAAAAAATAAACACATGATCTTCACGTAAATTTTTAACTGTATGGATAAACTCCAGGCCCGTTTCGATTAACTTTTCCTTTTCCTATAATGTTTATGAGCTAAACACTTTGTTTAAGTAATTTGCATTTGATTTGGCACATGGAAAGTTCGACGTCTGAAACGAGGCCCAGTTCCGCCGCACACGAGAGCTATTACGGAGTTTACGATCTACGACGCGGTTAGCTCAACGTCGCTAGTCAATTATTTTGCTAGAAATAAACTGCGGGAAATTAATTATGCTGCCAGGACTTTGACATAATCATACAAACGTTTCGACTGTGCTAAGAACCTCTGATGTCTAGCTGATATTGCAGTTTCATATTAGATATCAAACAGTATCACGATGCCGCTGCTTTCATGTCATCGAGTACATAATCGAGGGCCGTGAAAATGGCTCAAAGGGTCGTAAGAATGACAACGCTGTCGCGGGAACACAAATGATGCATACCTATTGTTTAAGGCGCGGTCATACGGTGCGATTTTTCTTGCAACTTTCAATTCAGTTCTACTTTTAAGAGGTGTAAATTAGTGCAGAGTCTTCAAAATGTAAGTATAAGAAACGCCCATCGAGTGAAATCACAGTTATTAGAATATACATGGTTTTGAGACTAGATGGAAGTACAATACAACTCATTATCTATGTTATTGTCCAGGTTTATGCAAAAAATGGTTCCTTATCCGTCACATGCCTATTGTATTTTTGCCCAACTAACCAATAGCAATGGCTTGGCTTAGCTCCTCAAACACCACCAGAATTTTTCCAACTCCCCAACCTTCAAATTCGACATTTTGTGATAAAAATACAAATTTTTGTCGATTAGAATTGGGATCTAATTTTGCTTGTAAAATCTGACTAGGTTTTATTTAAAAACACATTTTGAAGGAATCGAGAAGCAAAGTTACACTTACACACAGAATATAAATAGGCGGTTGCGCACTTGCAGTATATCTATCTAAATATCTATCTAAATATCGATCAGTATCGGTTTTTCTTAAACATCGGCTTATCGATATTTCGATATTATTTTAGCAAAAAAATATCAAAAGAAATAGTTTGGAATAGTTAGGTATTATACAAAATTACTCCATGTGCATGATTAATATGCAACACACTGATGATTTACCTGAATTTCAGTTCGCTATCAAGCACTTTACAACCAGTTAAATTTTCGATGATGTTGTTACACGATGAATGGTCACCCATTTCCACCATGGCACAACCTGGTTTACTTGACATCAACTTTACCTATACGAAGGTAAAACAAAGAACCAATGCACCTTATTGGGTGGTCCATTTTCCTCAGATTTTGGATTAGCCACAGGATTTCACTAATGTGACTTCTCTATCTAAAAAAGTTATTCTTTCCTGGCTTCTTTTCACAATAACTGGGGCCGGTTGTTCAAAGCCAGGTTAGCGCTAACTCTGGGTTAAATTTTACTTCGCTGTTTTGGTTTATATGCTTCTACACCGCTGTTTGTTTCAAGACTTTACAAAATAAGACTTCTATTAGTCCTCAAAATATTTGTGAAAAAACATGTTCAACTTCATAAACGAGTAATTAAAAAAGATAGACGTGCAAACTGGAGTTAACCCTGGGTTAAGCTAACCGGCTTTTGAACAACCGGCCCCTGAAATATTTATCAAGTTGCACCGTTCCAACTAGACTTTGATACCCTGCCTATTCTACGATGAACACATGCATGTAAAGTTTTGTTAACTGACCAAAAATTAGGTAATTATTCCAACTCCGCAATATTAATACGTTATATATATTACAACATTATCAAACTTATTCATGCGATCGCTTATTTCGATATCAGCGATTAACAGAGAGCATACTCCATTCCTACCTTCATTACATTACCAAAAGGACACAACAAATTGAAGATTCCTTCACACGATAACTTGTCAGGATCGAAGCCATACGCCATAAGGACGGTAGGCCCGGGCCCTGAACCCATCGGACCGCGTGGTCCATGCATGAAATCTGATCTTTGGCCAAAACCTGGACGAGGACTTGAGATCATTCCAGGACCTCGAGGACCAGGATTCATACCTGGTGGGTTGTAAGAGGGACGGCTAAGAAGGCCGCGTCCACGGCCTGTTGGGCCTCGCATTTGGTCTAAAAAAATTAATTAAAATAATTAAAATAAAATCATTCGACAACCTCTAAGCTAAACTTTCAAAAGGGTTTCGCATCTCCTGCATAAGTGTCTCGTGGCAGTTTGTAGCTGGCCATATCGAAACGAAAGGTTATAGTTGTGTGAAAAATGTGGCATGACGCTTGCTGCTGCTGTCCTCAAAATATGAGGAATATATCCCCTTGTAACGCATTTCCGCCACTGATTTGCTTTGATATCTTTGCATAGAAGTTTCTCGTGTTGTGCGAAATTGAACGTGCAATGTCTGTAATATATGTGATGCTTCTTTGGACTTTCCAGAGAGGGACCGGGTGTAAGCCCGCCTTTAATTTAAACATTAACATCATGAACGTATAGCCGAATTGGCCATCAGTTTGCAAGAGCCACATTGGCCACTCTGCAACGTGATAGCTGTTTGATACCTTATATGGAACTGCAATATCAGCTAGACATCGGAGTTCCAAGCACAATATCAACGTTTGTATGATTATTCCAAAGTCCTGGCAGCATAATTAACTTCCCGTAGCTTATTTCAAGAAAAATATTTGACTAGCGACGTCGAACTGACCGTGTTGTAGATTATAAACTCCCTATTGACATCCAGTTGGTCAGATCAATCATGGTCAGATCTACAGGGTGTATAAAAAAAACTGCAAATACCATAATTTGTATGCACGAGATTATACATTAGAATTTCAATGACTGTGCAACTAATTACGCTTTTGGGATTTGAAAATACGTTTCCCAGGGTTATCAAAACCAGCACACACCAAGTGAATTAGAGAACTTTCACCGTAGGACGAGAACGAACGAATATGCAGGAATTTTAATTACTGGTGCATAGAATTTTATGCTCGTTATGCACATATGAACGAGATAAGACAAATACGAACGAGAATACCGACAACAGAAGACAATAGAATGGACCATTGCATGTGTACCGAATAAATCTGAGTAATATGCAATATGCATTGTTTAACTTTGAATGCCTTTGGCATATTAAATTACTATCTTCATAGTTCTTCTTGTTGTCAAACCACGTACACGCTATTTTTGACGTTACCACGTATCTATGGTTAACCCTACTAACTATACAGAAGCTTATTTACAACTGGCCCTATAGAAGTATTTATCGCTGTATAACACATTAACACTATTTATAATTGAATGCCAGGCCTATGTATACTGATGTCCATGCTTTAACAGCTGTGCTTATTTTCATTTGATCACATAACAAAAGCCAACCTCTGGGGAATGAGGATTTCACAATTCTTTCGTCCCGTTAATGATATTAATGATATTAATGAAGCTATTCGTTCGTTCTCGTGCTACGGTGAAAGTTATCTAATATAAACTTATGAGTTCGATTACGAATGGCTCAGTTAAGAACAGAACTAAGATCCCAGAAGCGTAAATAGTTGCACAGTCATTGAAATTCTAAAGTGCATACAAATTATGGTATTTGCAGTTTTTTTGATACACCCTGTATAGGCCTAGGCATACGTCACATATTGGTCGCGTCGAATGCAATTTAAACAATAGATAATGAGTTACAATATTTAGGCTCAATCTCATTTTCTCTTCTTTGAATAGACCCTTTGCATGTTAGACTACTTTTTGATCTGTGCAAAATAATCCAATCAAATCACCACAGCTGAAAAGAGCGTACCAAAATTAGTAAAAATGCAAAGTTTGGTTGCGAAATGTCGTAAAATACGGAAAATATAGCCTTGCAAAGTTTGCAAATTTCTATACTTTAGTTTAACGCACGCAAAATGTTACCACATTCGGGCCCAAAATGGTAACTTTTTGCGTGCGTTAAACTAAAGTATACAAATTTGCAAACTTTGCAAGGCTATATTTTCCGTATTTTACGACATTTTGCAACCAAACTTTGCATTTTTACTAATTTTGGTACGCTCTTTTCAGCTATGGTGATTTGATTGGATCATTTTGCACAGATCAAAAAGTAGTCTAACATGCAAAGAGTCAATTGCATTAAGGCGGATTTCCACTTACAGGGAAATCGTTCGCTAGCGAAATATTTACATATTTTCTTTTGAATTTTAACAGCATGAATAAATTAGGGCGACTCCACTGTTCTCAATTCAAAAGAAAATATGCAAATATTTCGCTAGCGAAAGATTTCGCTGTAAGTGGAAATCCGCTTTTAGACGCGATCAAAATGCGACGTATGAACTACGTCTTAGCTTCAGGTAGGCTGTGGCTGTTTACCTTAAGATAACCCTTCCAACAAATCTAGTTAACTGATCTGACATTGTATAGTGGCTGTATACACGTGTATTTGACGTGCTAGCGATTATTTTGGGTCTATACAACGCAAGCGCTACTTTAATTCTTTTATTACTCCGGCGTCAGCGACGGAGTTGAAAATTCGTCTTGTTAGTTTGTAGTTTGGTTATGTTTATAGGGTAATGCATAGTGTGATGAGCATTGCTATGCGACCTGTGATGGTATATTATGGTTTCCATGAGATCATCGTGCATAATACAGACAAGTAGCTATAAACCGTCAAGTGCGGACTGTGGACCAGTCCAGTGGATATAACGAATGTTTGCGGTAATAATGAGAGCTACAAAAATTTTTGGGTCGTGATCACAAAATGATTCATATAAGAGTGATCGGAATCATACCACGTCCTTTACATTCGGACACGCGTGTTGCACTGTATAAGCACTTTTTGACATCTGTGTTCTCTTACGTTTCAAACAGAATTATCGCCACAGCGATACGTAATTTTATGCCAATGACGTTTCAAGTTTAATAAGATGTTGCATTTGTACTTTGTTGCATGGAATAGTGTTGCTTTCTAGGTTGTGAACAGAACTACTGCCATTTTGGTTGATCAGAATATTACGTGTGCATTGAGGTGCTGCATTTTACACCAGTGCGTTCCTTTATGTATAGCTTGTGACTTGGATTATTGCCAATGATGTTCTCCAGAATGGTAGGTACTTTTTGAACATGTGTAATATGCTGTTGCACTGTATTTTAATGCATCGGTGTTCTTCTAAAGGTTATCAATGGAATTGTGTTACCAATTACCAATAACATTGATCAGAATGACACGTTTGTAACTTGTGTGATAAGCATATAGTTTGTTGCATCGGTGTTCCTCTATAACTTGTAAGGGGAATTATTGCCAACTGTAATGATCAGAATGCTTTCTTCTTTTCTTTTATTAACATATATAATAGATGGCTGTTACGCGGTATTTTGTTGCATCTTTTCCTGTCAAAACTTGGGAATAGAGCTATTTTCAACGTTGATATAAGAAAAAAAGTTTGCGAAATGTAAGCAAAGATGTATACATATCAAAGTGACATGCTTTGTATGCACCGATGCGTGCTCAATCCACCGGTAAAATTCACTGTGAGAATTTTGATAAATAATGATTTGCACGTGTCAGGATCTTAAACGCAGGTGGCTTGTGCGGAGAAATTGAATAATGCAATCTTCATGCGCAGAATCTCCAAATGTGTATGTCGACGGAAGCGACGTGGAACAGGCATGTTGTGCTTATTCTTTTTTGTGTTTGAGCTTGTGAAGTGTTCTGGCATTGTAGTCTGCAATAATAATCCTTGATTGAACCATGATCCTTGAAATGCACTGCTGTTCTGTGTGTATGAGGATTAGCCATGTTCAATGTCTTGTTCTTGCAGCTACGAACAGTTTACAAACTTACAGATACCTTGGAGAACGAAAACGTTCCATTTCCATAGTTTGCCAATGGACAGAAACTCCACACAACACCTCAGTACAATGCTAAAAGTTGGCAAACGTTCGCACTAGACTAAAACGTATCGGTGAGCCCATACTTCACAAGAAACCTACAATCAAGCCCCATCTAAAGATTAAAAATTGTTAGCATAAAAATGATTTTCTAAAACGAAAGGTTCATAAAAACGAATGGGTATAAAAACGTGCAGAATTGTATATAGTGCATGCATATAAAACGTATGAAATATTTGTCAACGATAGGACTACGCGCGCCAATTATATAGGGTCGTCTTTGTGTTCCCTTTCTTTAGTAATTAAAGGGACTGAGTATAATAATTGATAAAATAAATAATAAATATATAAATCTATATATGAAATCCAAATTGAACATATAGAAAGTTGGAAACGAAGTCCAGCCGGAAACGTCGATATATAGAATGTGATTGGCAACTTTATATGGAACTTGAAAACCGTTGAGATGCGTTGAGACGTGCATGCAAGGCCCGAACTCCGAGTGGCGTCAGCAAATCGACAACAAAACAAGTTTTAGTTGACATCATATATATGCGAACGTGATATAAAAAAGGTTGATTAGTTATTCAATTAATTTGATACGCTGATATAGATATTTTAACATACCCATTGCTGGCCGTGTGTAATCCCATGTTTCATGATCATTCTTGAAAACATTCAATTTAGGTACCTAAAGAAACAAATTAATAGTAACCATGCATTCAAACAAAAGGAAATTAAGACGAAATAACAACAAACATCTTGACGGCACCGCGTGTAAATAAAGTGCGGTGAACTCTTGCATAAGCTCTGTGCAAACTAGTAAGCATCAAACATGCATGGTTGGCAACATTCCTTCCTAAATGACAACGTTTCGTCATATTCTTGTCCAAAAATTATGAACTGAATGTTTGTTAGTGTTTCAAACCTTTGCGATATACAGTGGCGGATCCAGAGTAAGCCAGAGGAAATTACTATACAGCTCTAACTTGGAATCATATATTGGTAGATTTTTATGTAAAACAATTCTTTAGAAATAAAAAAACATTATCGTATTTTTACTAAGGTGTTTTGAATATGAAATTTAGGGTGAGTAATATTTTTTACCTCTGCGGAATCAAGCAATCGCGCGACAAATAGAGTAACGTATGAAAGGATTATTAATTATAGTTTAATAGTATAGAGAACTGATTTTGTAACTGGTAGGTGAAATTACATGTCAGTCTATTTTTATTCATATAAGTCTATTTTTACAATTTAAAAATACTAATTTATCATTATAAAAAATTATCAAAAGTATAAAAAGTACAGGGATTATCAAAGTCCAAAACGATTATTTACAGTTCTCTTTAGAAATCATTTGAGGAGAAAATGATTTACTGAAGCGTTCAGTTCTACATAGAAAATTTTAATACTTACATCTTGGTCGCATATCATAGTCTGTTAGAGCTTTATAGTGCAAAAGGTCGCTCAATTTATCATTGTTCTCATTCTTTTGGAAGAATTGTTCACATAATATTTCTCTCCTTACTTTTAGTAAAGGAATACCAGTAAAATTACGGGCTTCTCTATAACTCATTGATGGCAACATGATTCGCAAAGCGCGCCGCTGAGTTTTTTCAACGTCTTCATTCAAATACTCCTGGATATTAAAGTGCCAAAACTTGACAAGCGTATTCAAGGACAGGGTCTTATAATAGTAGTGTACACTGTGATTAACGCGTTCGTATCTGCGTTTGATCGTTTCAGCACTCTCAACATATAGAACCTTTTTCCTTCTTTTTTAACAATATTGTTTACAAGTTCGTTCCAATTCATATCTCCTATATGCTGAACCAGGACCTGGGCTGATGATTCACGTTCAACAGCAACGCCATTTATAAGGGTGGAAATCCTGTTTATCTTTCGCAAAGTCTATAATAATTGTATTATGTCTATAATTGATCCAAAATTACCAATTTTGGGTTGCCATGGTTCAGGCAAAGAAAAACATTTTTGTTGCTTCAAAATTGCAGAAAATAATAGTAAAAACCTTTTTGAATGGGTTACCGTGTAGTCCGGCCTAGAGTTTCATTAATTCCTCGAAACTTATAACTCGACCTTTCCGGCGCTCGTAAAAATACGTACAAAACTCGTACCACACCATGCAGGCCAGGCCAGATTACACATTACTTACATTTGAATATTCAATTTTCAGAGTGTTAAATCCCTCATAAAGATCCCAACCATCCAGAGCATCTTTTGCTTGTTGTGCAGATGTTGGGTTATCAAATCTTAGTATAGATACTTAAGGATCAATAAAACTAATTTTACATGCTTTTTTCCCACTTCTATTTCTTGTTGCCAAAAGTATTTTGTGGTGGACCAAACTTTCTCCCGCTACGTTCACTATAAATCGTGTTAAAGCCTGGTTTTCATATAATTTTATTGTGATTCATAAGCGACGGGGCTATTCGGTGGTCATCGATGCAGAAAATGCTTTGCCTATCGAAAAAATTATCTATTTTACTAGTTATCATGCATGAACAAGCAATCGTAGAACATCGCTGATGAATTACGACATGAAAACCAGGCATAAACGTGTTAAGGTGTACCTTTATTCCTTTAAACGAAGAGCTACTCTTATTTATAGACTTGGCAAACTATCATTTTATGTACATCTATAAACAATGTAATCCAACTTCAATAGACCGTCCTTCCTAATATATACGTAGCATTCCACGATTTCATCGTTGCAAGCAACACGCGAGTACTCATTTGAATTTATTTGGATGTCAAATCATTCTTAATTTAGCAAGAACCATCCAATACATATAAAATGAAAATTGGTTGCCAACATTATATTAGGCTTCTTTAAGTAAATATAAAACGAAGCAAAATGTATTTGGCTCCGTGTGTGTGAACCACTAAGTCTAAGAAGCCCCGTCAATCGTGATGTCACGAGGTCCTCAAAAATGATATCCTACAAACAGTAAACATTTGCTCTTTCTTGCTGTGTTAGAAGCAAATACAGCACGCTATGCTTCACAGCTTGCCGAAGTTTGGCTAGCTAACTTAACTTGCGATATTAACATCTTCACTTTGTTTGAAATTTACATCGACAATACCGTATGTTTTCAGTAAATACCAATAGTTCCGAAGTTATTTTTGATATTTTTTAAAATACACTGATCACCCTAAGCACTTCAAAGGATACTCAACCATAGCCTGTAACTGACCATATTTTTGAAATATTACAATCCTTTGAATGAAACCGTATCCCTGAAACACTTCATGTAAGTTGCTCTAAAGAAAAAAGTGTTATTCAGCTTGTTATTAAATCTTGCTGTTATGGATGCAAGGTCGTTTTGCAAACCACTAAAGGGAGGAAAACAAAGGCATTGACGCTAGTGCCTTCAGCCTTTGGCTAAACCCACAAATTCCAAATGACTTACATTTTGTGCATTATTCTTGCAATGATCTCCAGGGGCAAACTAGCGAGATAGTTCGGGTGGGGGGTGGGGTGGGGGGTTGAATATTCATATATTCCGTTCGCAGAAATTTTTTTTGGGATCACTTTCGTTGGGAGCTTTGTAACCGCGCCTGTTGTTATGCAATAACAATATTAAGATGAACTTAACCCGAACAACCGTCATTGCGCATTCATTCACCCCCCCCTAGCTACGGCCCTGTACACAACATTTCAAAGAGCGAACACAGAGGAACTTTGTTAGGTAAGATGTTTGAGAATCAAAAATGTCGTTTATATAATATATTTTTCCTATTATTTTCTATATTTATTCACATGGCATATGTGCCATTATGTGGACGTTTTGATCATGTTGACATCTAAATTTATAATTATAATTATACCAAGTGTCATAATTAAGAATAAAAAATGCATGAACTACAAAATCGAAGTAATAATAAGCACTAGATAAATAAATTTTGTAGCAAATGAATCGAAATGTTGACCAATATTGTAATTTTTGTACCAATGTTGAGCATTTAATGTACACAAGTATTATTATACACCCACTCCATCACTTTGACAAGTTTACAACATTTACACAAGCATACTTTAGAAAAATCTGGGCTGTAGAAAGTGTTTAACTTTTTACTTAACCCATATACTTTAACATATGGAACATATAACAATGCAATGAATCTGTTGGTCATTGAACAATTATTGCAGAATGCCTAACTGATGAATCATGTCAAAATAGGGCCAGCTGTATAAAAGACTAGTTAATTTTTACCTGTAGTTAAGGACAAAATTCATGATTTAAATAATTTTGCAGTTTATGATCACATATATTGAGTGCAGACAAGGATTTCTCCCATTAATTCTTTATTTTTTGTGTTATATCCCTCTTTTGACAATTTGACTGTTCTACTTATTCCCCTTCCCCTTTATAAGTCCTAAATTAAAATGCCTCAGTGAGATTTTAATTTTCTATTATTAACTCTTTAACATTAATTTGGATGCCAAAAAAGTGGGAGGGGGGGGGGGGCTAAAGCCTTAGTCCATGATACTACAACAATTATAGTAATCTTTATTGAGGAAACGTTGTTATCAACTCTCCTGACAAAGGTTCTTAGGTCCACCAGAGAGAAACATTTTCTAGTTCAGGCAGTTTCAGAAAAGAATTCGTAATTCTTTCAATTTTTTTATATCAAACTGTTGGAAAGTGGGGATTTTACCACAAATCATCAGTCTCATTTAACCCCCTCCCAAATTATTGCTGTAGTGCTTGCTATGCACCTGCCCTAAGTGTGGGGTGTCACACCCACCCCTCCACCCATATGTCTGTCCTATGCATACCACTTTGAAAATCTACTACATGGAGTTATAGAATTGTCATATATAAATATTTCAATGCAATACGGTAAATAATGGAAGGCACCAAAATTTATACTTTCCACAATATGAAGTCCAAACGACCCTCCCACAGGGAAATATATTATGTCGCTTTATGCGAAATTACATGGAAAATTACACACATGGGAAATTACACACATATTCAACAAGGGAAACCAATTTCACATATTCAACAAGGGAAACCAATTTCCATAAGGCATAACCACGATTAAATAAAACGTTTACCTTCTTTGTTCGCCGTGCATCTTTTCCTGTTGTGCAGAAGTTGACCTAGGCCTTCATTGCAACTCTTTGTTGAGAGAATAGACTGCAATACGCAGTTTACGAAGCATGTATTTCCTGAGTTTACGAAGCCTTTTAATGCGTAACCTGACATCATGATGAAGTTTGATTAAATTTGATTGGTAAATAGCTGAATTTGAATGAATACGTACAATTTCTCCGGTTGAAGATATAGTTTATATTATAAGTATACCACGCTCTATTATTATTTGGTGCGGGAAAATTTCAATATTTCCCGCTAAATGCTAATTAACCGTATTAATGACTTTTCAGGAACATTAATATGCAGTACTTAAATAACCCAAATTGACCCTTTATATCCAAACATGTATTTTGGATAAGGCGCGGTTACAAAGCTCCCAACGAAAGTGATCCCAAAAAAAATTTCTGCATTCCGTTCTGCCCAACGAATTTCTTTTGCCAGAAAACAAGTATGCATACAAAAGATATCCGTAGGGGGAAAATAAAATATATGAATATTCCACTCCCCCCCCAATTATCGCGCTAGTTTCGACCCTGATAACCAGCTGGGCTAGCTAGCTTATTAACGATCCATTTTCCCTGATCAGGTGAGTGATCTATTGTCTTATATTTTGCATGCTATATCAATACAAGATGCAAGCACAAACATGACAAAATATTTAAATATCTTACAGAAATGTATTTGCAATTGATCTTACTGCGGCAATAGTTAAAACATGGCAGTGGCGTAGGAAGGGGGGGGGCACTGGGGGCACGTGCCCCCCCCCCCCAAGATTTTTCAAGGAACCAAAAGTGCCCTTTTTTGAAGCGAAAAGAAACAAAAAAGTATCTATTATTTCCCAATAATCCTTAAATCCTTTGCGGCCACTTCAGAGGCCTATATCTCAAAATTTTCTCGGGGGAGCATGCCCCCGGACCCCCCTAGCAGTACGAAGCCCAAGAAATACGAAAAATGCTCTGCGGTCGGCGGTCCCTGAATCAAACCTTCCTTATATATATATTTTTATTAACCATTTTAACCACCATTTTTATTAACCAAAAGTGCCCCTAGAAGCTGGTGCCCCCCAACCTTTGGATGCTTCCTACGCCCTTGAAACATGGTGCCTACTACATTTTCTCTGATGCAGGGATGGATAGTAGTAAATAGGTCAAAAGGAAATAAGGTTTCGCCTGAAAACCAGGAAATCTACACAACAGATTTTATGAGCAAAATGGGAAAAAAGCAGGGTACTGGTTGGGACAGCTGAATCAAGCTTTACGAAAAATGGTTGAATTTCACATTTCTAGATTCAAAAGTGACTGAAATCATACTAACAGTTGTGACTCCATATTGAGCATTGAGAATAGTCAGAAGTAGAATATTGCCAGCAGAATTTAACATTTCATCATAATTTGGTTCATTCCCATGCCTAAATTATAAATATAGGTATTCAAGAAAAAACAGTAGACATCAAAACAAAGTTCATTATTATGCACTTAAGGAGAAAAAGGGGTTCTTCCAATATAACTATCAGCCAAGAAGCAGGACAACAACTTCATACCTGGTAATTTCCTGGCTCTTTGAGAAATTGAAAAAAGCAAACCTTCCACAAATACTCACTTTTTCTGTCTGTGCAAAACAATTTAAAAATTTTAAAAAAAGGAGCTTAGAAAATTAATAACGCTATAGGAACAAATAACAGAGTGTATAAAAACACAAAATGTGTAACCATGATTTCATCAATAAGGTTATTGAGACATGAGCTTTCAGTTTCCAGTAATCAGTCCTTAACTGGTAAGGAAAAATTAAATATAAATTTGATCTACAGACTTTGGTTAACAATTATAATAACAAAATTAAAATTAGAAAGACTGACATGAAATAGTTCGACCTGCATGATATCTGCCCAAAATGGGTGTGTGTATAATATACAGGTTTCCCTATTTAATGTCTTTTTAAATATAAAACTTTACGATAAAAACAAAGCTTAAGGGACATGATTTACAGTGGGGATCTTACTTCCATGTTAAAGCCAACTTTACCATTTATTTTCAAAAATATGGATTAAAAGTATAAAGAGTTTAAGAAAAAAGGCTTCTAGAAAAGAGCCATCTTTCATTAATGAAGCAACAAAAGCATTATTAAAATACCTGTGAATGTTCTACCAGATTTTTAGCACTTTCAATGTCATCAAATTCAACCAGTGCTTGCCTCTTTTTTTGAATCAGCTTTATACAACTAAAGTGATTTATATATATAGCAACAATTAAATGCAAGCAGAGTCCAACATTTTAGTAAACACAAAATGTTAGGAAGCAAAATATTATAAAATGTGGCAATTATAGCCTAATGAAGATAGCAAATTTTGTACACTTTTATAATACACAATGGAGTTTGATACCTTTTATTTAAAATAAGGCTGTCAATTGTCAAAAAAAAGTTCTTTTAACTTGTTTTGTAAATTTCGGGACATTTAGATGGGCTACAGATTTAGGTTTGACCTAACAGAGTAAGAACATGCAGTATGGAGAATTAATAGTATACATTTTTTTTTAAATTTTGTATCATATTTATAAAGTTCATAACATTTTTCAGAAATTTCTTAGACATATGGTCTCAAATCCACAATTTGTAATTCTTTTAAACACAGCAAGTTTGTTAACAATCCTTGTTAATTTTGTATCATATTTATAAAGTTCATTACATTTTTCAGAAATTTCTTAGAAATATGGTCTCAAATCCACAATTTGTAATTCTTTCAAATACAGCAAGTTTGTTAACAATCCTTGTTACAAAGATGCAATTAACAGGGGTTTCATTAGAAGCCAGCAACCGGCGATTTTCGCCGGCTACTTTCAATATCACCGCCGGCTACCTTGTATCGTGTATTAAAATTTTCAGTTTTAATAGAAAGTTTTAAATTGGTGTATTTAGATAGCAATTACAATATCAAATACGTGGTCAATTCAAAGTTGTGAAGATTATTTAGTGTTTTAAAATTGCCTTGTTATTCACGTAGGATGACAATTTTTTCACTTGTCCGCCATCTTGAAATAGTGAAAGTAAATATTAATTACAATGTTTATCTGAAAATTGCGGACAATGACCTCCTCTCCCCCCCCTAACAAATGGCGCTGCTAGCCCTGCCGCCTACTTTCCTAAATGCGCCTGCTACTTTCAAAAATAATGAAACCCCTGCAATTAAATATTTGAAGCAAGCAAAATTTATATCAGGGATAAAAATATTGATCAAGAATATAATCAACAATCTAGTGACAATTACCCTACTTTCAGGATCGGGCCATCTTCCTTTATTGATCAAAATTGATTGATATAGTGGTCTATTCGACTCTATTGTTCAAAACTCAGGAAAAGCTTGGCCTAACCTTTTTAACAGTATATTTCTCAAGTTCAACAAGTTCTTGAAAATATTTCCTGATTCAATAGAGATTTTGTTATCAAAAGTCTGAATAGACATCCACAAATACATAAACAAAAACAGCAGGTTGAAATTTAACCCTGGATAGAATAATCTTCTCAAATAGACAAACACATGTTTTATAAATATAGCGCTAATCAATCTTTGAACAATTGAACCGGTCTCTCTGGTCACCAACATACATGTAAATCGTACATAAACATGGTAGTAAGATAATTAGCAAGGGGTTACTCACGTTATTCTACCAAATTCTTTAAGAGATTGAACGATATCCATATCTCTTGCACCCTCGGCTACTCCGCGAACATGGACAACTTTCGATGGCGGCGAATAATGTGGATTCTCTGGATTTGTTACTGGCATTGAAGAACCATCCTCAAGTTTTATACGTTTTGACGATTGGCCATCCGTTTCGTTCGACATTCCGAAATTTTATTTTCTGCTTTGCCCAAAATTTTAAGTATCCTTCAATAGAACAAATCAGTGGAAAAATGCACCGAAGGTTTGTAGTATGGAGTGGTTTGGAATACTGTTTTTACAGCTGGAAGTCCAGTGTGGAAGTCTGGAACAATGTTTCCAATTGGTGTTTCCACTCAAGTCACTTGCATCGTGCTTCCACATGTAGGAAGAAATGGAAAAAAATATGAAATGGCCAATACGTATTTTTTTAACGCACACTGTGGTCCATCAGTAGCATAGGACGTGAACGTCAAAGAGGACGTGAAAATGGCGAATAATACAGCAATTTTCGTCCAAGAGCAAACCGCGAACATTTTTTTCGCGTGCAATCTTCATCTAACGCTTCCCCCCGGAAAATACGTACGACCAAATTTATTCACATTCATTGTCGGCACCGTTTTTATTTACGTTTTTAGAGTTTACGAAGTGTGGACGTTGAAACGTAAATTTATGTGTCATTGGCCATCAAAATCAAAGTCATGGGCGTACCAGGCAGGGGAGGGAGTTGTTGGGCAAAGATGGCCAGTCGGGCAATATTCGCATGACTAGGTTACCTGCAAGGTAGGGATTGCTACGAGCATTTTATAGGGTCCAAGTGAATTGTTATATGAAATGTTATTAAACTAGCAATAGAAGGTTTAAAACAGGTAAAGTGAACCTCTATTGAGCGTTAACTCGCTGGGGCTGTACATGAATTAATACCTGTTAGCGAGAACACTGCCAATGACGTTAATATGTAGGTCAATATATGCTATATCAAGTTCTAACTTCTATCACGAAATTGTTTTGAAATAGGCTGGTTTATATTATGATTTCGCGAGTAAATGTGCTATAAAGAAAAAAGATTTATAAATGTTCAATTGCCCAAAGGATTTATAGATTGCACTCGGCAAAAACGAATCGTCTGAAAATAGCCATTTTACAGTGTCGTCGGGAGTGTTTTTCCCGCTGTCGAAGGGTAAAGGAGAAAACGCTGTTTTGCGAGTTGCAGCTCGTTGAAGTCAAAGTCTTTAGAAGCAGCTAGTTTTAAAAATATTTTAACATACGAATCACAACAGGAGTATTAACAATATTAGGTAGAATTTTGCGCGCGTAGCGACATTTTCCGCGCAACAAAGTTGAAGTATTTTCCGCGCGGAAAATATTGTTTGGGCGCAAAATTCCGCCAAGCGAAAATACAGGCCCCGAGCAGTAGACCATGTTTAACAAAATAGAACATTTTTTGGTAACATGGATATTTGTTTTTAAAATATGCTATTTGTCTTTGTTGTAAGAGTCCATGTAAATGTTTGGCTTTGTCGCGTTCCCATGCCACCATTGACTCGTGGAGTCAATAATGACACGGAGTTCGCAAGTGTCAACCACACTCGTACTGTTCAATATCACAATATGAAGGTCACACTTCGATACATCAATATTTCTTTAATATGTTTGTACAAAATGCGGTGAAACTACATAAAAAATACATACACTACTAAATAACAGTATAGACACAATTTAAGCAAGGAAATAACAAGGTAGCTTACGTCTATTAGCCTCTGTAACTTTAAAATCCTCGTAAAGCGTATTTAATATCTAGGTTAACCCTAGTCCCCACTGCTTACTTACCAATTTGGAAGGTTAGGTGCAAGCTGTAGTCCGAGGTGGCCCGGGAACGAAGCAAGGTCGCAGGTGGCCTGGGAACTAGCACTGGTACTTGGATTAGGGAAAGATCCATGCCAATGGTATCTTGAACTGCCAACCACACTCGGATAGCTTGCACCCATCACACCAATGTAATTGGTGGTAACTAATGCTGCTTACCTTTCTTGAACAGGGTGGGACGGCGGGTTTTTAAACTTTTTGTTAAGCTTGTTACACTTTGCGTGCCGAGCAACTAATGACCGCAACGCGAGCGAGCACGCAATATAACACGTGGGCTGACGCAGCGCACCTCGACAGGAACACCTAACTTCCGGATCACGCGTGGTTTCCTCGCTATTAACTTTGGTTATTGAATAACCTCATTTAATATCTAGGTTAACCCTAGTCCCCACTGCTTACTTACCAATTTGGAAGGTTAGGTGCAAGCTGTAGTCCGAGGTGGCCCGGAAACGAAGCAAGGTCGCAGGTGGCCTGGGAACTAGCACTGGTACTTGGATTAGGGAAAGATGGAAAGATCCATGCCAATGGTATCTTGAACTGCCAACCAAGAGATGCTGCAAGCATCACCCATCCAAGTACCTCGCAAGCGAAGCGCGAGCTAGGGCGCCGGCCAGAGGATGGCCCAAATAGATTGACCAAGATAACGCGCTGTTGTTGGATACAAACGACAAACCGTACTAGCTGCGGAAACGCAAGATAGATTTGCTAAAATAATGCGCTGTCGGTGGATACAAACGACACACAGGACTATCTGCGGGAACGCACGATAGATTTGCTAAAATAATGCGCTGTCGTTGGATACAAACGACACCCCGTACTATCTGCGGAAACGCAAGATAGATTTGCGAGAATGACGCGCTGTCGTTGGATACAAACGACACACTGTGCTATCTGCGGAAACGCAAGATAGGTTTGCGAAAATGATGCGCTGTCGTTGGATACAAACGACAAACTGTGCTATCTGCGGAAACGCAAGATAGGTTTGCGAAAATGATGCGCTGTCGTTGGGTACAAACGACACACCGTACTATCTGCGGAAACGCACGATAGGTTTGCTAAAATAATGCGCTGTCGTTGGATACAAACGACAAACTGTGCTATCTGCGGAAACGCAAGATAGGTTTGCTAAAATAATGCGCTGTCGTTGGATACAAACGACAAACTGTGCTATCTGCGGAAACGCAAGATAGATTTGCTAAGATAATGCGCTATCGTTGGAAACGACTCACCGCAGGAACGACAAACGCAGACGCACACGATATAGGCTCAAAATGATGGTGTTGGCTGGCGAGACGACCGAGAAAATATACTAGCCGAATTTATATGGTGTGAGGCGCTGGCGGCCAAAGACAACGTCGGGCACGACAACGACCGACGCATACTAACGGAAAAGACGATCGATTAGACAGGATTTCGTGGTGTTTTGTTTTTTGATTTTTTTTTTTTTTTTTTTTTTATTAATACCACAATTATTACTATTTATAACCCAAAGAATACATTGACAACAACTAGTGCAGTGCATATATAAAACTCCGTGTTTATGTCAAAAGGTGTTGACAAGGTGCGTGTTAAACTGCCAAACGGGAAGCTACGCCCTCTAGGGTTGCCGCAGGTGTTCTTATATACAATTGATACGCGTCACTAATCCAGCGGCCAAGTGTTTTGATCAAATGGTCGGGAATGCCAACTGCGGCGGCTGTGGTTGCGGCGCCAATTCGAAAACTATGTCCGGAATAATGTCCGGTTTCGCCGATACGTAACATCGCCTCTTTGAGCCAAGTACAAAACTTGTCACGCGATAAAGGTTGTCCGTTTGGAAGGGCGAATAAAGGTCCTGGACTATTGCCCCGAAGATGAAGATAACTCATCAGGGCTTGCACGGCGCAGATTTTTGCTCGGGACGCACCAATACGCACAACGTGACCCTTACGAAACTGATCCGTTTTAGACACTTTAATATTGATTAATACCACTGTAGGGTTAATGCGCTTATCAACTTGGATGTCGTTCAAGGACAAATTGAGATTAGTATCAAAGCGCGATGAGCGTGTTGTGAACTCGCCGCACCATAGAAAGCCAAAAAAGCCTGTCAAACAAGCAGCCCGAAATAACGCGTCCATATACTTTGTCTGGTCGATTAGCTGATGAAGTTTTCGTAAAACCGAAATCGTAATAGGTAAACGTTTTTGAGTCCCAGTCCCTTGTAATCTCTTTATGCCCCGCAGCACTCGTTCCAGACGAAAGCAGTTCTCTAGGGGGTTTTTGAAACCGTGTTCAATGTGCAAAGACCGAACTCCAGAGAGATATACTTTAATTGAACTGGCTTTGAGAGAACGAGATAAGTGCGCGGCGAACAACATAAGCGTGTGCTCACTGGCTGGGAGAGGTGAACCGCTGTCGTGAATAAGGCGCGACCAATAGCAAAACTCCAAAAATCTGCGTTGCGAAGCTGAATATGTCCGTTGAGTAGATTTGGCGAGGCCGTGAAATAGCAAGGAGTTGGTGTAATCCGTTAAAGATAGCAGGTCAGCTGTGCTCGCAAACTCGCTGGTACCTCCACTGGGGTGGGATGAGCGCCGGGCGCGAGGCGAAAGAACTCCTGCAAGTTAAAACGGGAGAGAGAATCAGCAATCGCATTGGTCTTGCCCGGGACATGCGCTGCACAAACTCGAAAGTTAAATTTTGCGGAGACCAGAAAAAGGGCACGAACCAAGTGCATGATGTTGTTATCTTTAGACGTGCCTGACTGTAGTATGTGCACCACGCTCTGGTTATCACACCAGAATTTTATGCGCTTATTGGCCCATGCTGGCCCCCATAAGTGACACGCAACTACAATGGGGTAGAGCTCTTTGTACGCCATGCCCAACGGTTGTTGAGCGGGTAGCCAGTGTTGGCAAAACCACGCGCCATTATTGAATACCCCAAAACCCTGTTTTCCCGACGCGTCGCTGGACAGTTCAAAATCGGGCAGGGGAGCCCAATCAGGGAGGTCAAAAAAGTAAATGCCATTCCAGGATGGTAGAAATTCCGACCACCATTTAGGTCTAGTTGGCAATCTCGGGGTATGCGAATAGACTTCCAATAACGTTTGGAGTCTCGAAGTAGGTTGATGAGGCGGCGCAAAAATGTTCGGCCCGCCGGGACAACGTAGCAGGCATGATTGAGTTTGCCGATCAGAGATTCTAGCTCTTTGCGCTTGCAATACGTTTTTTCTGCCCACCGCCGAATAAGCGTGAGCAGATCAGACAGCTTGTCCGGAGGCAAGCGCGCTGTCATTCGCAGGGAATCGAGTTCGATTCCTAAGAAGACCAAACACGTCGTAGGACCCTCGATCTTGTCCGGGGCCAGGGGGATGCCCGTGTCATTCGCTGCCCGTTGAATAGCTTGTAACGAGTTAGCACAGATGGGTGACGCCGAGGGGCCTA